CGCAAGGCATATGACCCACTGAATATTAGTTGTAGTGCGGTTCATGTTGAACTTCGACTTAGTCCTACTTTGCATGCAAGTTAAAAAAATCTATTTTGTTCTTGTCTACACATGATTGAGAGAACTCAGAAGTTTATATTTATATAAATGATCTATTAAATTAAAAAGAATGTTGATTTGAGTTGGCAATATTTCTTTTATGCAGCAGGCAGGAGTGTCTGGTTCTCTTACCGAGCCTGCTCAGGGCTCCAGAGATACTGATTTCTCTCCTGGCCAACCTTTACAACCCAATCAACCTTCTGGTAACCTTGGTGTTATTGGAAGAAGAAGTGTTGCCGATTTTGGAGCCATTGGTGATAGTCTTAGCGGAACAAATGTCAATTCTGGTGGAGGGCGTGACCATGTACTTAATATGCAGATGCTTGAGGCAGCTTACTACAAACTTCCACAACCTAAAGACTCAGAACGTCCAAGGATTTATACTCCTGTATGATCTTTATTTATATTCTTCCACATGTTGTATAGATTTATGATATGGTCACATGATGAATGTTACTTATCTTTTTCTGCAGAAGCACCCAGCAATAACACCTCCAAGTTATCCTCAAGTACAAGCCCCCATTGTCAGTAATCCAGCCTTTTGGGAGAGAGTAGGTCTTGAACCATATGGCACTGACACCCTGTTCTTTGCATTTTATTATCAACAGGTACTTGGAACTTTCTGTGGCATGAGCGCTTTTACTTCACTCAATCCTGTGAGGTTAAAATTATATTTGTTACCTTTTGCAGAACACTTATCAACAATATTTGGCTGCGAAAGAACTAAAGAAGCAGTCTTGGAGATATCACAGAAAATATAACACATGGTTTCAGAGACATGAAGAGCCAAAAGTCGCTACAGATGAATTTGAGCAGGGAACATATGTATACTTCGATTTTCATATCGCAAATGATGACCTGCAACATGGATGGTATGCTTAATCAACTTTTTTTTTTTATCGCTTAGTTTACATTCATGATTATCGCATATATATATGTGTGCACTGATGTTGACCACTATGTCCGACTTTTTAAGTTTAACTAGTGTTTTGATAATTTATTATGAGTCAAATTTCTGATATTAACATATTCTTAGATTTAGGAAAATTTTCAATAATTGAGTATCATGTTGCCTTCGGCATAAAATTAGAAGTTCTTCACGGTGAGATGTAGTAAAGCCTGGCCTGCAAGGCTATGATAACTACCTTCAAAGGACTAATGTTCAAAGAGCCTGAAATTTTCTTTTGGCCGAAAAGAAGGGGGAAAATTGGTTTTATTCTTTCACTGTAAACCTGTTATAGTGACTATGATGTTAGCTTGTCCAGTTCCTGCAGGAGAATATTAGTACAGTATCACGTCAACTTCATATTCTCTATTATTCTTATCGGTTGATCAGTTCATGTCTGGGGGCTATTTTTTTTGGGCGGATTAAAATCTGATATTTGATCTGTTGAATTGTTGGCTTGGTTCATGATATCTTGTGACTATGTTCTGTATCATGATAAGCACTCGGCTCTGTTGTTCTTTACCCATGGGGTTCATTCATTTCATATCATTGATTTTTTCCCATTCTTTGGATACTGAGGCAGTTATTGCCCTTTTTTTGGTTATGCACGACTCACTAGTCCGGAAACATATCTGGGCCGTGAAAGAATCTGACCGTTTGGATTGAGATTTTGCTTCTCTTGTCCAGTCCATGAATGTAAACTGTGCCACTGTTCTCACAACTTATCTGCACTTTGTCGTTGTTCAGGTGTCAAAGAATCAAGACCGAGTTCACTTTTGAGTATAATTATCTTGAAGACGAGCTTAGTGTATAGAAGATTTGTAGACGATGGATGCCTTTGGTGTCTTGTTTTCGCTGTCAAGTATTGTTTATCAGATGAACCAGTATCGCCTGATTCAAAATAAACAATATATGAAGGGAAAAAAAAGTTGATCGTTGTACATGTCTCCGAACATTTTTCTTACATTAATCAACGACATCCAGATCCGGGTGTCAGTAAGTTATCAAGAATGGGATGAGGTGGCGCCAAAACCAAGGAATAAGTGAACTAATTAAATGAGAGGTATCTGCTATCAGAAAGTACATGCTGGGACAAGATATCGTGTATTGTAGGGTCTCAGTTATTGATGGGTTTGCGAAGTGCTTTTAAAAGACATCAGGTCAGCTTTTTCGGGTCAGAGCAACACAGTCTTGATACATTTGGAACAGAAAAAGGCATTGGAAATGGATCGTTCACCTATTCCATTTTTTTTTTTTATAAAGAAAGTGTATTTTTTTATGAAAATACTTTTTTCCGTACTAAATGTTACCCAAGTCATCTGATCTTCCTTGTCGGTCGTGATTGTGAGAAATCCCGTCGCCCGGATGTAGTGGCTGTGCTCTGGGGAGACTAAACTTAGGTTATGTCTGTAACTGCATAAGCATTCTGTTTAGCGAATTTTTTTTTATCGATTGCGTGTTAGATTATGATGCTTTTCCCTCTCAAAACGTATGTGAAGATTCATTCATTGTCGCACTCCCTTTAACCTCGTTGATTCTCCTGCTTTCGTGTTCTGGCGCATGCCTCCTTGATTTCAAACCAAGTGATGTTGATAGCGAATGATTAAAGCTTAACATGTGTTCGGTATTTTTCACCGGCGACGGTTGGTGTCGTTGGCAGTGTTCTTTTGATACACGAAAAGTTGGACCCCTCTTCATTGAAAATTCGCGGGTCCCCATTGTTGTTTTCATATGAAGCTTAATAACCAAGGAGGGCCAAATGATGTGGTGGATGTGTACAAACGGATTGCAAATTTCACGCTGTGGCTTATTTATTTTTTTGGTCCAATTATTTTATGAGGCTCAGCCGTGTGGTGTGGGTCCGCTGCTATAGCGGCCACCGAATTCCCCAATAATATGATTCTTGTTTGGAGATTGATCAGCTACTTTTCTTGGTTGAAATTGAAATGCAGGGCTAGGTGCTACAGAAAATCTTATCTTCATGTTTTGAGGCCTTCTCATTACCTCTTTGAAAGCAGAGGCTCAAATAAATTACCAGTCTTTCATCTCAATGATTGCCTTTCTCAGTGCTTGATCGATGCATCAGTGAAAGTTAAATTCACCACTCTCTTCAAAGTCAGAGGTTGATTGCCCACCCAAATACATATTATCATCCTACCCTCTGTAGTTGAAATAATAAAAGTAAATAAATAATTACAACACGTTGTCGTTGGGAAGATTGTCCACGAGTGAAAACTGCAAAGGGTTTATAATAAAAGGGAAAAAAATCAAATCAAATATATATTTTTTAAAGTTTAGTTGAAAGGCTCATTCCGATCAATTTCAACATATAAAAATTAGAAAAGTGAAATCATTTTTTTAAATGATCATATTCTTGTGGACAAGGCAAGCCGATAGTCATTTATTAAAACCTTGTGGAAGGATGCATGACTTGGATTCGATCCCACATGCCCTTCTTATATAAAAATGTAGTTCTCAGCTTTTATTATCTTCAAAGCATCTCGGCTACTCAGTTCCTAGTATCCATATTAATTTTCTTTCTTACAAACAGGCTGTTAATTACAAAAACATTATAAAGGGGACTGGACAAAACCCTCCATTTATTCTTCTTCTTAGAGCCAAAAACACCAGGAAACAAATTCCAGCGATCAAGATCTCTCATACTTTTTTTCAATTTCAACCGGCAAATCAGATGAAGCTCATATTTTATGCTCTGAACGTGTTGTGGATTGCCGATTCAGAGCTGATAAAATGTGCATGGAGCAACTAAACTTATGCTTTTCAGTAAAAAAAAAAAAAAAGAGTCCATTAAAAAATGAAGGAACATTTATAAAAACATAATAAAAAATCAATACGTTCTAAAACAATGGAAAGAAAACGTTTTTGTTTTTTGGTAGCTGAGAGTATTGCGGTTCCCTCTTAAATTTAGACACAGCTTTGTTAGGAAGAACACAAGTGAAGTTATTGGAAAGTGAGAAGTGGGCATTGGACAGACAAGCACATGCTTCTCTGCCTTGTGGTTGCAAATCCACCGCCGTCCATGTTGGTACCCCCAACTCCATATTTACATGTCGCTCAGGATACAAAATGTTATACTACCTCTTGTACTTAATATAAGATCTTATTTTATTTTTATTTTAATATTAAATATAAGATCTCAATTCATTTTGTCTCCTATATTTATGTATTTTTTCTAAGGTAGTCTTTTTAGTAATGGTAGTTCTAGCCAATATACTTGATTAGCAAAGATATTTTAGGAAAGACAACATCTATTTATAACAAATAACTAATTAACTTTTTTTTTAATCTCTTCAAATTAGTCAACTAGCTCTTATAATTAGGACCGGAAGTAGTATAACATAAAAATCTCAAAAAAACTAAAAATAAAAATATATTATCTTTTATGTCGTTTGGTATGTTAAAAAACTAAATCAATTTAGATACAAAGGCAGCATCTTTTGATAATGCCCACCAAGTGTTTATTATCATAGCATCGCGCGAGTCCAGCAGATGGGGTCACCGGCCAGTGACCCCCAAAAGAGTTGCAGGCTTAATTTAAACGAAACATCTCTCAGAAACAAGTCAAATGATGCCCCCTTTTGCATTGATTAACGTTCGCCTTCGGTCAGATAGATCCAAACGCGCCACGTTACCATCCACTTCAATATGATAATAATTAAATTAATTAATTAATTAATTAACCAGTACTCCATAATACAGTAATCACCAAGATCATCTTTCTTTTTCTTTTTCTTTTTTTCTTTTTTGCCCTGAATCACCCAAGATCATCGTTCACTTCGCAACCCAGTAAATGACAAACTGGCCGGAGTCCTTTTTCTCGAACTAATCAAAACAGAATCGACCTAAAGCTACTTTCCCACTCAGAAATCCGCGGCCCCTGCACCAACTTCCATGCTTAGTTCTCTCTCTCTCTGTTTTTTTTTTTCAGGTTCATTCCCTTTTTAAAAAAATAAAAATTTTGACCTCCCGTACTGCTTCTTCACAAGCTCCTCAAACGCAAAACCATGTTTAATTGTAGCCGTTGCGCTTACCTTGAGTGATCCTCGATTCGATTTGGGTCCCTCCATCCCATTGATTCAATTCAAAATAAAAATAACACTGGGCCTCCATTCGTCATTTGCTCATGGGGGTATTTGTCCTTGCCCCCTGAAGAATTTTCACAATCTCTATCTTCATTCTTCATCTTCCCCTTCGCAAGTTTCTTGATTCTTCTGATTTTCATTTCTCTCCCTCCTTCTGCCTTCACTCACTCACTCTCTCTCTCTCCTCCCCCCCCCCCCCCCCCGTCTCCTCTTCCCATAAAGAAGAACAAGCTCTTGCTTGCCCGACTGTTTCTTTTTTATCCAAGTCACTCTGCCCCTCTGTTTCTCGTCCCCGGTTTCTGTTGGGTCATGTATCTTTCTATCAGTGATTGGTTAAAGAACTGAACTTCTATATTGATTCTTAATCATCTCTGTGATCATTTTTTCTCACTCGTCGCTTGTTTATAGAAGCCAATACTAGAATCGCTTATTTTTCTCTTGTTTTTTTTTCCTGGTCATCTCGTCCTGGAAAAATTGTTGGCATCTATCTGGCAAGAACATTCTGGAGAATGGGGAAATTTTGGATATTGAGGTGGATTGTGGTGGTGGGGATCATGAGTTGGTATGTTGAAGGGCTTGGGGTGAATTGGGGAACTCAGGCAACGCATAAATTGCCGCCAGACACGGTGATTCAGATGCTGAAGGACAATGGAATTCGGAAAGTGAAATTGTTCGATGCAGATGAGTCCACCATGAGTGCTCTGGCTGGGACTAACATTGAAGTCATGGTCGCCATTCCCAACAATCAGCTTGCTGCCATGAATAACTATGATCGGGCCAAACAGTGGGTTCGTAAGAATGTTACACGTTACAACTTCAAAGGAGGCGTCCACATCAAGTGAGTTAATTCATTTTACTGCTTTCTATTTAAGTAAACAATATCGATACCGAAATCTTATTTCTATTTCTGATCGCATTTATAGATGTGGGGTATTTCAACTCATGCAATTTTGCAGTGGTTATGACTTATCGAAAATCGGGTCTAAAACCAGCTATAATTTTTCTTTTTCGCGTCTTGATTCTGGGTTCTGCATCCGGTCGTTGTTCAATCTTTCAAATTTGGAGGGCATTGGATACCAAATCCTTGACCTAATCTGGAAGAATCTTGTCCGACTACCTGCTATTTTAGCCTGTACTTTTCCTAATGGAATTAGAATTTAGAAGTCTGTGTCGTCAAATGCCATTGGCCTGAGAATTTTATCAGGAGAAGACGGCAATCCCACTCTGAAGAAGGTTAAAAAAAAAAAAAAGGACTTATTGGCCGACAAGTTGAAGGGCAAAGAAAAGTGTGGAGGAATTCTTACACAAAGTAAACCCATACTGTATCCAATTTTTTTTAAAAAAAATAAAAACTCTATACGTCATTAATAAGAAAAACAAAACTAGAGCAAGATTACGTCAGGCCATTCCTGATAGCATAATTCCTTTCATCATCCACCATGACCATGCTGCATCTTTACTTTACTCCACAAACAAGTCTCTATTATATGCTAGGCGTACCCCAGAATTGAACAAACTAGTATTCTGTTTGTTCGTGGTCGTAGTGACTTCTTGTAGTAACTTTTTATGTGCCTGAACAGAAACATCTTTGGAATGAGAATCGTCGGGTTGCACCATTGGATGAGCTCTTAACGCATGATGTAATTAAAAGAAATCTTCTTAAATCATATCTTTGCCTACAATCTGCAAAAGGCATGAATTTTAACCTCCAGAAACACAACTAATACTTTTTTTTTATCGGGCCAATCGTTTCAGTTCTATTTTGGTATGAAGTATTTGATTTATTATTTTGGATTTGATTATGATAATGTTGCGCTGAAAGCTTCATTTTTCTAAATATAGATGTGAAATTTCTGACAGGTATGTAGCAGTAGGAAATGAGCCATTCTTGAAATCCTACAACAATTCATTCTTGAACATCACCTTGCCAGCCCTACAGAACATTCAAAATGCCCTAAACGAGGCTAACCTTGGAGACATCGTAAAGGCCACCGTGCCCTTAAATGCCGATGTTTACGAGTCTCCAGTAAACAACCCAGTTCCATCTGCTGGAAGATTCAGGGCAGACATAAATGGTCTGATGACACAAATGGTCCAGTTCCTCAATAAGAATGGAGCACCATTCACAGTTAACATCTACCCCTTCTTAAGCCTTTATGGGAATGATAACTTCCCTTTCAACTATGCCTTCTTTGATGGGGTAACCAATCCCATAAATGACAATGGGATTCTATACACAAACGTTTTTGATGCTAACTTTGACACATTGGTTTCTGCTCTAACTGCGGTAGGGCTAGGGAATATGCCCGTTTTGGTAGGAGAGGTAGGGTGGCCTACAGATGGAGACAAGAATGCTAATGCAGGTAATGCCTTAAGATTCTACAATGGCCTTCTGCCTAGGCTTGCTGCCAATAGGGGTACGCCACGTCGTCCTGGATATATAGAAGTCTATCTGTTTGGACTAATTGATGAAGATGCCAAGAGTGTTGCTCCAGGAAACTTTGAGCGTCACTGGGGGATTTTCAGGTATGATGGGCAACCCAAGTTTCCTATGGATCTATCTGGTCAGGGTCAAAACAAATTTCCTATAGGTGCTCAGAATGTGAAGTATCTTCCTCAGCAATGGTGCATGTTTAATCCTGACGCTAAAGATCTTAGCAAACTTGCAGACAATATAAATTATGCCTGTACCTATGGAGACTGCACTTCGCTTGGGTATGGTTCTTCTTGCAACAATTTAGATGCTAATGGGAATGCCTCATACGCATTTAACATGTATTATCAAGTGCAGAATCAGGATGACATGGCCTGCAATTTTCAAGGGCTGGCCAAACTTACTAACCAGAATCTTTCACAGGGCAGCTGCAATTTTATTATTCAGATTGCTCCTTCATCGTCCTCTTCTTTGAGGTCCTCTCTAGTGGCTTGCGTTTTCATCACATTATCAGTGATTCTATTTTTGTAGACTTACATTTTTTTTGTATATACATCAAAGATGGTATTTATTTGAATATTTATCAGTTATTGTGCTGAGATAGTCTGAATGATTCTTGTCTGGCGGATTCACTTAATAAGAGGTTTCCAAATTTAAAATCTTTCGGTCGATGAACTCCTATCCTGTGAGAATTGATGCTTTCCAACTTGTTTATTTACGGCCAACCCTTTTGATTTTTTCTCGCCCAAATTTCTCAAGTCACTTCAGATCTGATCCTCTGAATTTGGCCTTGTGAATGATGTGGTTGACCTATGATGACATTTCTTGTAGTAATTTCTCATGTGAATGAAGAGGAATGTATTGGAGCTAAGAATCATGGGATGGGACTATTGGATGAACTCTTAAAGCATGATGAAACTTCAAAAAAAAATGTTTTTTAAGTCATATTTTGGCTGACATATATAGAAAGCGTGAATTTTGATTCTTCTAGAAAAATTTTCTTATCAGTCTTAACTACATTCTGATTTGTATCTTGACCCGGCGTATTTGGTATGCTCTATTGGGCTTGATGATGAGTTAAGCTAATATCCAACATGATGACGAAGCCCTACATAATAGTTACGGTGATATCTCTGTCATCTGAGACTGAGGAAAGTTCAAGCAAGCCCAAAATTCTCTTCATTTCAATTATTCGCTCATTCTTTCCCATGAAAGCTCACCGCTCGCATTGGTTAAGAAAACGAGGTGTACACTAAAGCCCATTCCATGAAATTTTGGCCCAACCCCCCCCCCAAAAAAAAGTTGTGTGTGTTTTTACATGCATATTTTCAATTTCGTGAAACAAAATATCGTAAACGTGTAATTGTTGACAAGTAATGACTGACGTTAAAGATGCCGAAATATTTGAAATAAATTTCAAGTGTACACATAATACATACAGGGTGGCTGCCTTTATTCTGGGAATCAAGAATCTGTGCCCTTCTTCATGTGATTGCCTGGAAAATTGGTGGGAGGGAGGGAACTTCAAATTTGAGCATCTCAGATTTTCAAATTGAAATTGAAAGGTTGCTTTCTCCTCTGAATAATGCAGCCAACTCAACCCCAGCACTTGGATTTGGATGGGTGTGATTTGATTTCTGTCCCACGCCTTCATAAATATATGATCATAATTGTTCCTCTTTTCTTCTTTTAATTACAGTTGGAGTATTATATAATTCAATTGTGCCCCAAAAGTTGCAACTTTCTTGGCACCACAGAGACAGCCTAATAATCAGTGATTCTCCATCTTTTGACTAACCATGCTCCTACATTTTCAAATTCTCAATTTTCACATTAGTGGTGGATTTTCATTTCTAGTCAGATATCATTTTAAATTCTAATTGCGCGTAACGCAGTCTCCAACTCATTTGTCCTTTTGTTATTATTTTTTTGATTTCATAAATCCCCTTTTGCCCAATCACGTGCCCCCTTCATGACGTCCTCCCCATTATTTAATCCCCTCTAATTATGCTTCATTAGCTTGGACAAAACTTCATATTCCTAAAATCATTGCATCTATTGTTTCGTTCTAATCAGATTCTTTTTTTTTTTTTTTCAAAAACAACATTCGGAGTTAAATGCTAATGTGAAAAACAATATAAATAACAAAAATCTTATATAAACCGCGGGCATAATGATTCTAAGACATTTGACTTTGGATAGCATCAAATGAGATCCCCTGTTTTTAGAGTTTTTAATGAATTTAAGTCGAGCTGAAACAGGTTTCTTCGTTTTGAGCCCCCAGGCAAAATAAACAAAAAATACTGATAAAAAGTGAGAGTAAAAAAAGGGATACGAATCGATGCTGCATACTTGCAGCGATCTGTAGCACAGTGTGTTCAGGGCCGAAATAATCGTCGCCAGGCTTCTCGATATTTCATCGCCACTAATTGTTGCCTCTCCTTTATTTTACACTTTCACTTTCCACACATCCTCTCTATGCCATGATCATTAGCCAACACTATGCAAATACAACCACCGAAAATAAAAGTTGCAATTTCGCTGCCCAGAGGGATTTTCATTTTTTTTTTTAAAAAAAAAAGAAATCGGGAACATGTAAAGTTGGAAAATGCATGACGCATCCCCTGTTAGATCAGAACTCAGAACAGAGGACTCAGGAGGAGGCATGCTGTCAAAGAAAACAGAAAGCCATTGTCCCAGAAAAGCGAGAGTTTCGAGTAAATAGTATAGTACTCTGGGTTAAAAATAAAAAATAAAATAAACAAATAAAAAAGAAAAAGAAAAGAAAAGAAAAGAAAAAGGGCCGTACAAGGCAAGGAGGGACAGAAACAAACAAGGACTAGAGTCTCTCTGTAATTAAGGACTTTTAAGAAAACAAGGACGAGGGTCTCTTTTGAATTATTTCACCTGCCTTTTTAAGTTTTTCTCTTTTATTTTTGCATCTTGAGAATTTGAAAGTCACGTGCACTTGCATATCGAAATGCATTATCTTATCTTCTCTGCGGTAGTGCATGCCAACTGCCAAATTCAAATAACGCCCCACACTCCCACATGCTCTGCTTATAATGACAGCATTCATAGCATACGATACCCAGCAAAATCAAAATCCACGGCCCTATATTTTGAAGAGGAAAATGGAAAACTATAAGAAAATCGCAAGGCTATCAGACATCATAAATATTCTTCAATGTCAGGTAAGCCCCGCTGGTTCTACCCTCCTACTTTAGTTTAGGCGCAGACTTAAATGCCCAGAATCGGAAAATCACTCAGCAAGTAATGAGTAATGGCGTACGAGAGAGAGTTTGAACTTTGAACCAAAGTTGGACCTATCCCAGCTCATGATAAGACATCCTTGTACTGAGAATAAGAATAAATACTATTTGAGAGTGCATTGCACATAGCTGTGAGGAGAAAGATGTAATGAAAATCTGAAAATGGATGCTACTAATCAATATGTATAGAAGTCTGTAATCCTAGGTCTAACCCAACAGCTGAACAACCACCCCATTCCCCCAGTAACCTCTCTGTTTCTAGAATATATATTGTGCCCTATACTTGCTGAGTTTGATTTACATGGAGTAATCACTGGTGCTCCCTGGGAACGGAGGAAGAAGAAGAAACAAGGGACATCCTCATCTCCATGACCTTCTTGTGGGAATTGGAGTGCAAGTAGCTCACAAAAGTTGGACTCTTGGCTGGTCTATACTCTGGCAACAACCTACCAGACTTGTACCTCACCCCACATGCATTGCATAGTGTTTTCGGACCCAATGGTCCTGCTCTCCATTGTGGGGTCCTCTGTGCCAAGCAGTGACTGCACCTCCTTGGCATTGGATTTTGCCCATTGCTGACCTCACTCTCCGACGACTCCTTCCTCACCATCATCGTCTTCTCCGCCTCTACTTCTTCTTCTTCCTCCTCCTCTTTGCTTTCTTCTGCCTTTTCTTTCTTGTCGGGGACGATGAGTTCACTGTCTGCTAACCAGTACGTCTGTTTGAGGAGAGGAGGGTCTGAGCTTATGGCTTCGTTTTGTGGGTTTAAATGGTGTGACCAGACGCTTAAAGGGTCTTTGGCTCTCGGGGCTGAAAGCCTCTTCCTTTTGCTTCTGGCCTTTCCGGGCACCGCAAAATTTTGTAGAGAAGACTCATTCTGGTGGGGTCTCTGCAATGGTTTTGAAGGTTTGGAGGTTGTGGCTGTAGCTTGATGAACATCAGGAGGTACCAAGAGGCAGCTTGCTTGACTGGAAAAGCAGTCTTCCACAAACACTGACAGCCACTCCAATCCGACATCCACCTCCTGCATTCATATATATACATATTCATTCAGCATAACAGAAAAATGCTTACTTTAGTAAGAACCATGACGCAGAAAAGCAGTACATGTGTAGATATAAGCGAACATTTAGTAATAAACTAGCAAACAGCAGAAACAGAGCACAAGTGATACAGTTTAAGCCTGTCACAAACTTAGTATGACTTAACTACCAATAAAAATAACCCCTTTATTGCTGGTTCAAAACTATCACCGAACCAAAAAGGGAAAGCCCGGCGAAAAAACCCGGATGACAAAACTCAAAAAGAACCATTAGGCCATGGAATTTTACGGAGAACAGAGGCAGAGGCAGAAAGAAAGAAAGAAGCCAACATAAAACAGGGGAGATATCGACTGACCGTGTTCTGAGCAGAGAAGAGGTCATCGAGGCTGGTTGATAAGGAAGAAAGCTTTGAGCAAGAAGGGGAGAGAACCTGTTCTTGCTTGCACTCACCGGAAACTGATACATTCCGGCACACATCCATGGCCGCCTTGACAGCAGAAACGATAGGAAGAGAAAGAAAGCCAAAATTGGTGTCACAAGTCACAAGCCCGTGTCTCAGTGCTCCCTTTATGTCCCTCGTTTTTTTTTCTTGTCGGCAGATAAAAAGCGAAATAAAACAAATCAAAATTTACCGAGTCATTTAGTAAACAGACATATCTATTTCGTGTAAACACAAACAATCACCCCATTAATATATGCCCTCCCCATTTTTCCTATACCCTGTTCACCCCTTGTTTACTTCTTCCCATGGCATATATGTACACAGAACTGACTACCACTTTTGTCCCTAACGAAAAAGGAGAAGGTGCGAGTTATTAATTAATAGGACTCTTGCCCTTTGTATTGGGGATGAATGGGTAGTTGAAGAAAAGCACAGGCAGTAATTATTAATTACAAACGCCCTTTGGCCCAGCCTGCTGCTATCCAAGGACTGGTACACTATTAATCTTTTCTTTTTAATTATTTCCTTCTTTTGCAGAAGGAAAAGTTAAGGGGGGAAAAGAAAGAAAAAGAAAATCTCAAAAGATGCATTGGAAGAGTCTCAGACAGCAGAACTGCTGGTAGCAGAGGGAATTCAGTTTAGATTCTTCGTAACAAACGTAAGAAGCACTCGATGGTAAAATTGTGGTCCAAAAAGTTTAAGTGTTATACGGTAAGAGGGACAAGTTAATCACTAGTGTTGGTGCTCTATGCTTAGTTGCTTTCGCCGTTTGGAAATGAACTCTCATACTTTATCAGAAAATAGAGAGCCCTCCTTTTAAAGGCCCTCTTCCCGTTTTGATTCACATTAGCATAATTACTGGCCTACTCTCTTTTATGATTTCTTACCCGTTCCAGCTAGCTGCATCATATTGAGGTTATTGAATATTCCATCCTGAAATAGTTTTTGGGAAGCTCAATAAGCACTTTTCAAGAGTATTTTTTTACAAATCGAGACAAACTCCTTCACATGTTTACTTTATATACCGTAAAAATACTTTTAAAATCATGATTTTGATCTTACCCAAACACCCCTTAAAGTGAACTTATAATCCTATCTGATTTTATCGTAGGACATGGTATTATATATGATCCACTGACTTTACATTTTTATTTGTTTTTCATTATTTTCTTTTGAAAATTTGGAACAATAATTGCGTTTGAAAGAAATTTAAGAAGGGTCGTTGAGAAAAAAGGATAACAGTTGTGGTTAATGTTACTCATGTGAAAAGATTCAGAGCTGCTTATTCGAAGTATATATTGATTTTGACAAACTTCATGTATGTGTGTATCTTTTTTTCAAGAGAACTTTCAGTAATTCACTAATTCCCATGAAAAAGTAATTTTAAGCATTTAGTAATAAGTTTTTTTTTTAAGTTGATTTTTTTTAAAAAAATAAATCTTAATTTTTAAATAGGTGTGCTTACATCTTACTATGGAGGCATTTACGAAGGTATGTGAATAATTTTGTTTTAAAATCACATTTTGAGCTTCTAAAATTGATTATCCTCAGTCCTAACTCCTATTCAAGGAGGCTCAATGGAGTAAATAATTAAATCAAACTAGCGTCCTCCCGTACATTAAAAAAGTAAAAATCTTTCCAAGAGTTCACGCAGTGTCATGAGAACATTGAATCCACAATATTAAAATGCTTCGGGTTTGAATATACAATGGTGGAAATATAAGAGTAGTTTAGCCTATTTATTTTGTTTTTTTTTTTTTTAAATTCTTGGTCCCCTCTCTAGATTATAATATAACCGCCGAAAGTACCAATGAATTTCGAAGTGGGAAGCCGCGTTGCAAGGTTTGAAAAATCCAGTAGACTTCTACAAAGGAGCGTCATCAAATCACATGGGTAACTTCAAATTGTTGATCTGGCAGTGGCAATCAAAGTTCACTGAAGAATCAGGTAGGAATGTTGAATGGGTGAGGCGGTGAGTTCCAAAGCCGCTGTGCGTGATAAGGATCTGTGATGGGTTGACGGGTAGAGAATTAAAACAGAGGGTAAAGGGACCAGGGATATGTATGTGCGTGATGAAGCTAAGGTGGGTCAGATTGTTAGACGAGTAATTAATTGAAAAGGAATGATAATGAAAGAAGCAGTTTCAAAGGACAGAACCACATCGCTAACGCCTCATATCCAAATGCCTCTTCCACTTCTGCAGAACTCTGTCCTCTCTTCCATGGCATTCTACTTCCGCTGGTCCAATTTCACCCACAACCTCCCCATGTTATGAGGTCCAAATCAAAGGGTCTTGTCTCCTATCAAGTACTTATCAACCAGAATAATAACACTCGTAAGGATTTTAGCCTATGCTCCTCAAAATAAATAGAAAGAACCTGAGTTTCGGTGCCGATAAGCGACCGCGCAGAGACTTGTTATATTTTCCTCATGTTTAGTCATTGTTATGCTGTAAAGAAATGAGCAATCATGCTTTGACTTTAGTTTTGTTTTCCCGTTCTCCCTTATTATGCTGGAGCTTTACATATCCAGTCCTGAAGGGAAAGGGGCACAAGTGAATTATGAAGGGAGCTCTGTTTCCCAGCTTGAGTGGGAGTAGGACCTGGACGAGGGCTCATAATAACTGTACGGTTGAAGAGAGGCGTCAAAGAGGAGACATTGTAAAGTTACTTTGTGTAGGCCACTGCGAGCAATAATTTCAAAAGATGAGGCGTGACCAGTGCAATGAGAGCATATAGATAAACTACAGTGGGGAAAAAGGGAATCTCCCATCTCCCATTGGTACATATATTGGAATTAGAATGGACTCATCTGGCCACTTACCATCTCCTTCAGCCCTTCTTTCTCTTCCCCTCATCCAACTGAACGATGTATCCAACTCAATGGCTAACGGATCAAGAGTTCAGAGTTCAGCTTAGGCATGAATGCATGCGAACATCTTGTCAATTATGGACATATCTCATACTTTAAGCGTATGAGATTTAGTTCTTTAAAGAGTAATATACTTAAAAAACATTCTACGCATGAGTTGATGGGTTTTTGAGTGTGATTCAATAAAAAATAGGATCAATTTTTCTTTTTTCTTTTTTTGGTGATAATAGGATCAATTTTTCTCAAGGAATAAAATATAATATCAGTGGGTTTTCATGATAAAGATCAATCATTACATGGAATCAGCCGAGTATCATGACCTGAGGGTCGTGCCCAAAATAAGTATCAGCAGCAGAATTACGCAAAGAAAAGCGCACCAAAGTAACAATGCCTGGAGGCCCCAGGTGTAGAAAAAAGATAAGCAGCATATATGTATGAACACTAGCAACCAGAAAAACATTGCATAAATCATGACGCAGATATGCTTAACTGCTGTATGTAACAGCAGGTAGCAGCCCAAACTGTTCTCAAATTAGATGCGGGCCATCTAATGATCTTGAGTGGATGCAGCAGTGATGAAGCGCAAGGTGAAGCAGAGGAAGGTAAATAACCCAAGGGTCAAGCAACACGATAGGCTAGGCGAGATAATAAATCCCACTTGAAGTGGATAGACGTCAATTGTATCAGTTTCATGCATCAGTTTAGAAGATTACAACAGTGGGCAGGATATTACTATCCTTGCATTTTACACAACACAAAAAATGTGAGAGCACTAATTACAATGAACATTTTAAGTTAGCCTAAATGATCATTTTTTTCCTGAGGGAGCACGATAAATTTGGTATGTATGACATGCTGGGGGCAAGTGACTGGTTCCTACGACGACCTTGATAGATATTGAAGCCATTCTTCGGGTGTTCCCCTTCTTACCGTCAACATTCTCAGTGCTGCACTGGTTAGGGGTATGGCATGGATGTCATAGTCCTTTGGTGCCTGAGCAACAAGAGTAACTTCTTAATGGTGTTGAGGTAAAATATTGGATCCCTCAGTTTTTTAGTAGGCAATCCCTACAATATCTTGAGGTATACACTGTGCTTCAATTAAAATTGCTCGTGCAATTAGAAGATTTGTGTTCTAGCACTGGCAAACTTTTAGGTAGCGAACATGTTCTCCATGCATGTGTAGATCGCAGCATGATCCGGTTAGGAATTGTCACAATGCAGACAGTCATGGTTATCATTCTTCAAAGTCAAATTTACAATAATGTTCTACTGTCGAACATCAATCTTAATATAAAGAATGAAACTATCTTCACCCGGAAAAAAAAAATTCACGTAATACATGACTTCAAACAATACCTTGGGATTCTTGATCAGCTTCATTTTTGCTTCCTCTAAAGTTTTTTGACCTTTCCTTGAGTTACATTTGGCACAGGCAGTAACCTGTCAAGTGAAAGGTTGGTGATACATGGTGAAGAGGCAACGCATAGAAGATGGGCTTTAGGACTAACGGTTTAAGACTCCTCCCTTCCGTCTTACATTCAACTAAGATTTTAACAACAAAATGTAAAAACAAATAAAAATACTCTTCATTTGTGACACAGTTTTCACTTGTCTCCTCTTGATAACATGCTTTAGGACTAACGGTTTAAGACTCCTCCCTTCCGTCTTACATTCAACTTAGATTTTAACAAGAAAATGAAAAAACAAATAGAAATACTCTTCATTTGCAACACAGTTTTCACTTGTTCCCTCTTGATAACATGCTTTGATGAGTAATGAAAAGTTCGCCGGAATTTAAATTTATCATAGAAGTTTAGTACTATACCTACTTAAAGTAATTTCCAATTTTGTGCTTCTTTTAAAGTTCAGGTTCTTTGGCCCAAAAGGGGGGGGAGGGTTCCGGTTCAGTTCCTCTGGAAGAAAGAGATTCATTTAGTCATGTCCTATAAGCCTTCTTTCTGTACTTGCATTGAACAGTCTTCTTTAGTCTTTTATGTCCATCTGACGTCAAGTCCAAGTACCACAAATATGGTATTTCAGAAGCATTTTTTCTCTTTTGCCAATAAATGCACAAGATTTTTCCTAAAATACTGGACGAACAAAGGAACCCCAAAAAATCGAAGGTGAACATATGAAGGTTAGACAAACTATGGGCGGACAACCCTTAAATTACTCGTCTTGGAGGTTGTGGTCTAATTTTTGCGCACTCACACACACATATTTTGCAGCTTCTGTGACAAACAAATACACGGCGCAGTTAATGCCCCAGACGTAACTCAACTCTGCAGTTCCAGGATGAGATCCTTTCCTTTTTCAGAAAAGAGACAAGTAACACAACACTTCTATGCAGGCATACAGATGTAGAACATGTATGCATCCATATTAAGCTGATAGACTTACTAGATTTTCCCATTTCCATTCTCCACCCAGTGAAGCAGGCACAACATGGTCAATGGTCAAATTCTCACGTGAAGAGCAATACCTGTTGAGCAAGGGAATCTCATATCAGCATAATACGAGGCTTTATACAAGGATAAACCTAATCTTTTGAAAAGCAATATCAAGAGAGAAACCCTTTTTACGGCCTAAACATTGCCCCAGAACCATGAAATTGTTGAGAAGGGTCCAATGACTTGCTACTTCCATGGTAAACAATCTTCAATCGACAAAGTAATGGACTGTATAAGTTTTGGGCATGACAAATTTTAAGGAGGATAAAAATATGGAAGGTCTCCTGAATTAAGATTTTTTTTTTTTTTTTGGTTTTTTGGGTAGTGCACCTGAAGCAATTGTAAGTCAAAGGATGGGATCGCATTCATGATGCCTCCTTTTATTTAGTGAAATGCTAAGAGAGCAATATTCATGCTATAAACCCAGTCCATTACTTTTTAAAGGATTGACACAATGGTAGCTACGTAGTTTTAACTTCTAAACAGGATGGGGGAATGGAGAACCCAAATACATAAATGAAGTTCACTTTGTTCCTTTTTGGATTTTGTGTTAAATGGTTGAACTAAATGCGTTTAGGTCTATTAGAGATCAAATTTAAAGCAGCATACTTACTGACAAGTGTAGCAGTCCCTATATAGTATATTCTTCCTATTAAGATTGCTCTTGACAACTCTTCTTTTGACAACCTGAAGTAGATTAGGAACCTGTTCCAGAACAAGCATAATATCAGGTATAACCCTGTTTGTAGAAGCAAAATAGCAAGAAAATGTTTCAACCCAATTGTGAAGAAATCGGTAACTATAAATTGGTGATGAAGGGCCAATGCTACTACTAGAGTCATGACTACAAAGGGTCAGAAAACTAAAAAAACAACAGCCATTACCGAGGGCATACCCTTAAAACAGCTGGTATATAGAAAGATCCGCATGGCGAGTTCACAGTCTGATCGTAATACTCAAGTACATCAGCCTGGATAGAGCAACATTTGAAATTTGAAACAGAATAAGAATATATTCAGTATCAGTTTAAACAGAAAGGGATAAACAAAGACAAAAAGGTTTTTTGAGAGCACGTGTCTGCAGTTGCATATATGAGGAATGAACATTATCACCTGGGAAATGAAGCAGAAGTTGTATATCCATTTAATAAAATCCAATCAAAGCGAAGCTATGTGGAGAATTCAGAAACATACTTTGCTTCTAAATGGAAATCATATGCAATAGGATGAAGAAAATACAACATTCCCTACCAGCCAATATAGTTAAACAGCCAGTGCACATGATAATATGCTGTAGCATAATCCTTAAGGGATAACCTAGGTTTCCTTGATTTTACGTAATTTCATGTCTGTTTTGAAGCAATAGACAGCATAAATAACATAATAAAATGTTTTACAATAATTAACTCAAAAGAAAGGGTTGTGGCGTTGTGCTGAAAGATCTGACCTTCGCCATAAACTCCAAACATATAGCACGTTTCCAGCCTACAACGTTAACTGGCCTGAAGCATGATGACAGCAATCAGATCTGTGAGCAAACAACTGATATACAAGAGAAAATCACCTTACAAACTTCACATCATCCAAACTAGATGGTGGGCCCCATGACTTGTACAAAGTCTAAAGAGAGTTACACTATTACATATACTAATTCAGAGAATAATAAGGATATATGACATCTTGCATCCCAAATGAATACATTAAAACCATTAGGAAGACATAACCTCACAATAATTTTAAAACCGATTACCGAACTTATTAGCAGTTTTGGTTCTTTTATATATTTTATCGGGTCAAGTAATCAAAATGAGAAATAACACAAACGAGAAAAGCATTAAAGTATGTGCGTGAGTAGAACCTAAAAAGGAATCCCGTTCGCTTATCCAACATATGTGCCATATAATAATTACTCAAAAACACACGCACGCACCCACGCATAATCTATGTTTGTGCACCCCAAATATGTCATGTATGCATCAACAATCAAATGCACAGAATTCACGGCAGTTTTACAGCAGTAAAGTTGTTCCTCACCGTGTCATAGAAGTGGAAACACCAGGTTCCAAGAACATTCACTCTGTCAAACAGCTCATGGGGCTTCCCATATTGTTTTGGTTGGAGTAAATTCAAATAACAGAATGCATTGCAAAAAGTAACTTATTTTAGCATATAATTTGTACGATGTTAAACCCAGCACAATCTTCCTAAGTAATGTATAACAACCACAAGATCACCTAATGGGGAAAAGGATTATTGATACAGTCTATAGTAAATAACTGACTCCACGGTATGGCAAAAATCAGTTGAACCCAGGAACTAGAAAAACCAAATGATATTTACCGAAGCCTATCAAAGACAAGAAAATAAAAGAATAGTCCTTTCTAATTACACATAGCTTCTCGAAACAATGCCGTTTCAGAAATTTACAATCTCGATATGCAGAACAGTAGTCAATAAAGTAAATATTGAAGTGACCTGTACGATACATCCAACACCAGGCCTCTGAAAGAAGCTAAGCTATCGTTCTCAAACTCATAATCATCATGATCAGGATAATCCTCGTCATGAACACTGCCATTGCGAAAAGTGGGACTGGGGAGTGGGGAGTGCCTCCCCACTGCAACGGTTTCTTTTCCTACTCGGGTATGATGAGAACGAACCTATACACCTAACCTTCAGCTCGCGGCACTGAATTGATCTGAACTTGAAGTGAAACGGGTCCTTCTGCTCCAAAGGAAACGAGAACCCCTCGCCATTAAAGAGCGTCTTTAAGCGACCGTGAGTTGTAAACTGTGCCATCCGCTTTCCTCTCCTCGAGCTCAAAATTGACAAATTTGCACCTTTCTTTTCCAACTTTTCCAGACCCTCTGGGATTAATTAATCAGAAGGAAAATAAGATGGGCAAATGCATTGGCTCCACGGAATATCTGCCGTTACCTCGCTCCTTTGGGACAATTGCTATGCACTTGAATTGACAAGTCTGCCCTCAGTTTTTTCCAAAAGATATTACGATCTGGACCTTTTGAGCTGGGGAATTTATCTAACCATCAAAATTAGTCGGCCAACAGGTTGAGTGGTATTAAAAATACGAAGAGCAAATTAACAGAATCAATTGATGACAAATTAATCAGGAAAAAAAATAGTGGGGGGGATGCAGGGCGGCACTATCTGTCTTCGCCTTTGCTCAAATGCACGTCACAAACTCATTTTGCATGCGTATATGAGGAACATAGCTTATAGCGTTCCCATGACAAGAAGCCTTCCGCACGCATTTGGGAAGTTAAAACTGATTATCGTATATCTGTGTACTACAATATTATTTTGTTTTTTACCCCAAAAAAAGTTGATTATAAAATTAGACGCGTTTGACTCAGTGCTCTACTGCTCTTAGCAGGTCCAAAAACCAACTGGCCAACGGATATGCATGTGTGAGAAACGAAGCAACGGTCTAGCCTCGCAAATGAAAATTACATGCTAATCATTGAGAAGCTATAAACCATGGGAATTATAAAGATATGGTCAAGGGCTTCATCAACCCAGACGTCATTTACATTACACAGCCTTTACGTATAACAATAGCAAGACCGGCATCTTATTAGTCTACACGGGAAAAAGCAGCCCCAGTAGAAGAGATTATTCATCACCCTTAAACATAGCCACCATTAACACGAATCACTTGACCATTGATCCACCCACCGGCGTCAGTGGCCAAGAATCCCACCACAGGGGCTAAATCCTTGGTCTCGCCAAGCCTGCCCAGAGGACATACGTCAATAGCCGCCTTCACTTGTTCTTCAGTCTTACCAGAAAAAAACATCTCTGTTGCAACTGGCCCCGGCGCAACACAGTTGGCCGTGATTCCCGTCCCCTTCAGCTCTTTTGCTAAAATCTTCACCATTGTCTCTACGGCTGCTTTGGATGCTGCGTATGTCCCATAACCGGGCATCAATGAACCCACCACTGATGTAGATAACATTATAATTCGACCTCCTCCGCCACGTTGCAAACGGTTTGCTGCCTCCTTACAGCACAGAAACGCCCCTCTTGCGTTCACACTGTGAAACAGCCAGCTATATATCAACCAGCGAGTCTTCGATATATGAAACAAAAAGTAAATAACCTGTTATTGTAACATGCGTTAATAACACGGTGAGTGTACATATGAGGAGATTACGCTGCTTAATTTATGCTCTATCACTTCACTTTCAAAACTGGTGTACAGGCCAACAGGATTAGAGATGGGAAACTGTATCGTATTAACAACTAATGGAAGGGAAGGTGGAAAAGAAAACAAAATGCTCCGATATGCTCGCGTAATATGATACTAAATCGATAATCCAAACATGTATCAGCACGTTTCAACGCTATATATTCAGGGTGCCCTAAGTGTTAAAATTCTGAGATAAATTAGAAACTCCCACAACAGAAGTACCTTGTGAAGCATTTTGTTTAGGAACCTGAAGGAATTACATTTCAGTTCTGACATCTAGCTCACCAACAATTTGGCGATAGACACTTTATGATATATTGCTCGAGTCATCACTTCAGTGAACGGTTGTTTTATCGCGAGTTTACGAACTGAGGTAAAAGGAGAAAGAGACAAAAAGCATACCTGAAAATATAATCGAAGTCCTCCAAGGAAATATTGGCCAGAGAAGAGTAATTGCTGTCGATAACCGCAGCAGAATTAACCAGGATATGAACCGGTGAGTTGAAGGCCTTCTCAGCCTCATCGAAGAGAGACTTCACTTGAGTCGGGTCAGAAACATCAGCCCTGACGACAATGGCTCTTGGACTACTGGCACGCGGGGAAGAGGCATTAATCTGGGCGGCGGCTGACTCCGCAGGAGCCGAGTTGGAGGAGTAATTGACGACGACTCTGGCACCGAGTGAAGCTAGATGGAGCGCAATCTCTCGACCGATTCCGCGGGACGAACCAGTAACAATCGCAACTCGATCTTGAAGCGATCGAGTTTGAATTTCCTGGTTCAGTTCAGTATTGTCGGAACCCCTGCCTGGCGATGGCAGAGCCATTTCGATCACTCTACAGCTTACAGTTGGTTTTCGTCTAACTCTTTCATGTTGTGTGGCTTAGTGGCGGTAAAAAAGGATAGCGTCTGCGTTGGCCAGTAAAAATGCAGAAAGTGCGTGTGTTAGAAAGGAATCACAACTATCATATTCCATGCGTACTCTGCATTCCGTGAGTCGATGTAGCAGTCCTAGTGTAGACTGTATTATCTATATGAATTTTTTATTTATATAATGATGATTTTATTTTTAAAACCATGCTTCATCTATCTGCACTTCGTCTGCATACTCTCCACTTCGTATTTAACCCGTACAATAGGTGTTTGGAGTGATTTATTTTAAATGTTTTTGCATTACCTGAAATAAATATAGAAAAGTATTTATATATCTACTTCACAGTACAAAATTACTTAAAATAAAGGAAAAATCGTAAAAAAAAACCTTAAAAATAAAAAAATTGCAAATAGAGGCTTGTTACAATATTAGTATGAGTTTTGATAACAATTTTTAAAAAATGATCTCTACATACACTTTTTTAATTTTAATTTTTTTTTTGTGATTTTTTCCAAAATAAAAGCAGTTGTAAGCAAAAACATATACAACATGAATCTTATGTTTAAGATCATAAGTCTATTTGGATTGACTATAGAAAAGGAACTTAGTTTCAATCTAACTTTGATAAAAGCAACATCGGTAATACGATTTATATTGGGATTTACTTTTATAAAAGTCAGTTTGTAACGTAGAAAAGTTGTTTGGATTATGATTGAATAAGTAAATTTAATTTGTAGAATAATCAAAATGGACATGGTTTTTATTAAATAATAAATATTGATTAAAAATAAGAATTTATAAAATATAATAATTTTAAACTATTATAATACGAAAAATTTATATTTAATTAATAAAATATATCTAAATTAGAAATCATAGTAATGTGAAAATTTTGAAACCAAACAGTATTATATAATTAATTAGATGATATACTATGCATGATTTATATAAATATAAAACGAAAAATAATAAAATAGTAAAATAACTGGAAATGGTATAAATTTTATTAAATAATATTATCACCTATTCTTAATATAAGAACTAGTTGAAAACTCAATTTAGTCATAGATATAAGATCCTAATTCATTTTACCTCTAATATTTATCTATTTTGTCCCTAAGCAGTCCCTATGCTATAGTTATTACATATATTAATGAGTTTTCATTAAGAGGTAGCTTTCAATGCACATGATTTATGAGAATATTTTATGAAAGATAACATTCATTTATTACAAATAATTAATTTAATTAACTTCTTTAATATTTACAAATTAGTTATTTAGCTATTATATTAATAATTAATGTATATATACTACCTCCAGTCCTTAATATAAATACCTAGTTGATTAATTTGGGTATGTTAAAGAAACTACTTAAATTAGTTATTTGTAATAAATAAGTGCTGTCTTTTATTAAAGATTCTTATTAATTAGGTATATTAGTTAGATCTATTATTATTACAAGAGCTACCTTAAAAAAAAAAAATGAGAGACAAAATAAATTGAGGTCTTATATTCATGACTAAAATAAAAATCAAATGAATTTTTATATTAAGGCCCGGAGGCAGTATTATACTGGTATGAAAAATTTGATGCGTGTGTTTTGTACTAAAAGAATACAAGTTTAAGTTTGAATATAAGCAAGGTGGTATGATGTAATTTAAGATAAATTTTTTGAAAGCGTGGCAATTTCTTTTTCATCTTCTCTCTCCACTTTTCAAAAGCCGCAACCTTCAAATTTTTGCTTATGAATTATGATAACTTTTCATTCAAAAGTTAAATTACTCTGATGCCATTACATATGCTCCAAATTTCATTCAATCTCCACAATCCCACGTTTTGGCTCAATAAGTCACTTTTCTCCCACTGAAGCGCCAAAACAAATAGGTCCGGTATATACACATATATCAATTAGTTTTGTTTCATATATATACATGCCAAAATCGATATCATAAACTCAAAACTGTTTATTTTATAAGTTATTCTTACTTAATTTTATAACTAATTATGACAAATCCAAGAACACCTCGAAGAAAAATGATATTACTGATATGAAATATAATGCTCCATCTAAGATTGACAATCTAAGAATACTATCAAGGTGTTTTAAAGAAGGGTTATCCTGATCTCCGCTTCTAGCCTAGATTAACTTAAATTAAATGGAGTCTTTATCAACTTTTTTTTTCTTGGTCAAAGTCTCCATCAACTATCTTAAACTAAATAATCAAATATGAAACTTCATAGTTCATGCAACTTCCAGTTTACAAAATACGATGAAAAGATTTTTTTTTAAGGCAGTAGCTAAATAACTAATTTATATAAATTAGAAATAGGATAATATTTACATCAAGTTTTTAATCACATATGACTATGTGTCATATTTTAAAATATTAATATTTAATAGTATTTAATTATAAATTCATATGGCACAAAAAATACCAATGTTTATATATAATTTAATTATGTAATCTCTAATATTTAACGAGGCTATGGCCCATTAAATACGGGAGCAAAAAAAAAAAAAACGCATTGAATATATGACGGAAGGATCCGCACACTCGCGCGAACCCAACGGTCAGTCAGGTTGCCCTGCCGATTGGCGCTTCTTTCGTTGATTTTCGCCTTTAACGCTTATAATGCGCATCATTATACGACGACGTTTGTTGTTTTCTTCTCCTCTCTAAACCGGCGGTCACCTAGGGCTCCGATCGCAACCCCGGGAATTTTGACTGCAGATTTACGTTGATCACTACAGTGAATGGCAATTTCACGAACAGGAGTCTACGTTGACGACTATTTGGAGTGTAAGAGTCTCCATAAATGTCATTTCTTCATGCTTTTTCGATAAACTCGTTTTTACTTTTTATTCTGGCTAACTTTGAATTATCATTACTTAATCCCCACAGATGCAAGCACGTTGCCTGCTGAACTCCAGAGACTGTTAAACACGATCAGGGAACTCGACGAAAGATCCCATTGTAAATGTTCTCTATACCCTGTTTCTGTTCGTTATCATGTCATTGCACATACGTTTTTATATGCCGCTGGTCTGTGATGTCTGCATCTATTTATCGCTGCTTATGTATTTATGTATCTTTATTTTGGCTGCTATATCTGTATGCGTTGGGGGCATGGCAGCTATGATCAACCAGACCAGGCAACGCACTAGGTACTGTTTGGGGTTGTCTTCACATGGCTCTAAGAAGGTTAATCATTATACTAGTTATAGCTATAACAACATTAACACCACCGGAGAAGACGATGCAACAATTGAGAAAATGCATAAAGAAATTGAGGCTAATCAGGATAGTGCTTTAAATCTTTGTACCGAGAAGGTTTTGTTGGCACAGCAAGCATATGACCTGGTGAGTTTCTTTTTTTCTTTTCTAAATTTATTTCTTTTTCACTTTAATTGTTTTATGTTGTGTATTCTTAACGCTAAGCATTTATATTGAATTGTTGATTGTATTTTCACTTGTTATATACACACACACATATGACTTGATACAAGTTGGTGCATTTCAGAGTGAGAAAGTGAAATAAAAAATTGAAGAAAGAGATCAGAGGAGGAAAATATTGTTTTAGCACATAATTAAAGTCATTAACTAGCCTTATTATATATGTGACTATTAGGGTTTGAACTCGAGACGCTTACTGACTATCCACCGTCAGAATCACACCAAGTAGCTTGAACTAACCTTTATATAGTCTTGCAAAAGGAAGAGCAGAGGAACCCCTCCAAATAACCCTGCCGGTCATTTAGTCTTACCTTAATATATCTTCCACAAACCTTGCTCTCTTTTATATATTATGTAGTTGGAGTTTTAGTCAGTGCAGTCATTTTCTTGTGGATCTTCATCGATAAAGCAGCCCCTTTTATGATTTGTGATTCCATGAGGCGTTGCAAGAGCCATTTTGAAGTTCAACATGTCTTTTTGGGTGCCAGAGTCACTTCCACGTACTGTCAGGAACACAAAGTTCAACGTTTGTTTACTTTGTCACGTAGTGCTTGTTATGGTTTGAACTTATCCTTGCATAATCAACAGTAGGTTGATTGTATTGATTTTCAAAGTCAATCAATCTGATCAAATTTCTCACTTCATTTCCTTAAAAGCTTGAACTAGAATTTTTTCTATTATTAATTTGGGAATTTTTCTTAGGTAATTTTTATTTGCACGTGATTTTCTCAATGCGATGCTATTATATCATCAAACTCTAAAAACTTTTGAATTATATAACTCAGATGTATAGATCCTAAACAGTCAGGGTATAGTTTGAGGTTTTAATTATGTAAGCATGCATGCTGTGAAAAGAGGTTTTGAAGAAAATGTGTTGAGAAGCACTTAGCTCAATAAGTGGAAGAATTCATGTAAACTTTTTGGAATTTGCTTCCTCATATGCATGTTATGAACATCATAAACGAGAGTTTATAAGCTTTTATCTTATTTAATTTGCTTCAGATAGATAGCCATATAAAACGACTTGATGAGGATTTGAACAACTTTTCCGAAGATCTAAAGCAAGGTAAAATAACAATGTAATTTGCATACTGATTTATTTTGTGTCAGACATGCACAGCTTAAAATAAATAAAACCAACTTATCATGTTGGGAAAGGTTAAGAGGACCTGAAAGTTATTGTCACCATCTAACACAAAAGAAAGGACCGGATGAAAGCAAAATTTGTTTTGGATTTTAAGTTGTTGTCAGTAACGTGTTGTCCTGGTCCATTATATGGTTATAATCTTAATTTTTCATTTTTCTTTGTTTCACATTTCCTATTTTATTAGAAGGCAAGATACCACCAGATGAACCAGCTATTCTTCCCACCTTGCCTGTAGTCCCAAAAAGTGAAAAACGAAAATCCTTATATGGAACACCTGTATCAAAGGGACTTGACTACAGAGATAGAGATTGGGATCGGGGGCGTGATAGAGATTTTGAACTTATGCCCCCACCAGGAAGGCATAAGAAGGAGTATGCAACTCCCATGGATATGGATCAACCAATTGATCCAAATGAACCTATATACTGTATCTGTCACCAGGTTTTGTTTTGCTGTTTAATGTATTCTATATTCTATTATCCTTTGCTCAATTATGTGATTTTTTTTTTAATGTTCTGTAAATGCTCCATAAGAATATGGCATTTTTTTTAATTGATCTTTCAGGTTTCTTATGGAGATATGATTGCTTGTGACAACGAAAATGTAAGTACCTATTGCCTTGCTTTCTTTCTTCATGTGCGCTGCACCTCTTTCTTTTTCTTCAAGGAAAGCCGGATTGGCAGAATTACCAATCGTCATGTGATCTCCCACATCAAATTTGATTACTGTCTGGTATCTATATATTATTACCTTCCTAGTGCATCAAATGCGTAGTATATTTTTGGGCTAGATGCGTTAACTGCAGACATAGATGATTTGCTATGCATAAGATTGATTTGGAATTTTGAAAGTGAAACCAAACACACTTATTATTATGCCAAAGGTTACAAATATTAGTGAGGGCATGATTTCTTACCTGCTCACAGTCTCCCCTCTCCCTCCAAAGCTGTTAGGTTCAGACTTGTGACCTCCCTGTGATACCAAGTGTGAGAACGATACTTACTGTTACACCGAAAGTTTTACAATTAATTAGGGCTCAACTCTATTTCTTTAATCCATTGTAGATTAAACGCTTGCCATGGTTGGAATACACTAAAAATTCGTCAACCAATCTTTGATGCACCTACTCTATTTGCATAACATGTATAAATTTGGGACATCATAAAGAACTGGCGAAATTCAACATTGAACACCTTGCAAAGAGGCATGTGAACAACATGCATGAGAATGCATCCAATGCGGCTTTCATGATGCAAACACGGAAGTATAAAAAAATTAATTATATAGATGAAAAATCTGTCGTGAATAGGGTTTGCGTTCATGCTTAGGGGTTGACCGGGTATGTTCTGGTTACATTCACATATGTTAACTGCAATATTTCATGCATTTACTAATCATTAATCACATAATGTATGTCCATTATGTCGCCAGAAACTACGGCTATATGTAGTTAACAGATGAATATTGGTGCCATGAATTTTATTTGAACAGTGGGTTTTATAGGTTTTACAACTAGTTTTATTTGAATAAAGGATTCTATGATAATATTCCTTTCCCCCCCTCTCTAGTTGTTTCTGGTTTTTTAAAGCTTTGATTGGTTTTCCTCCTAGTGCCAAGGAGGTGAATGGTTTCACTATTCGTGTGTTGGCGTAAGTCCGGAAACAAGATTCAAGGGAGAGTGGTATTGTCCTACTTGCCGACCCCACTTTCAATGATTAATCTCAGTTGGGTTTGGCAAATTCATGAGATTAGACAAATTTGTGAAACAGACGTAGTTTGTTATGTTTGCAAGAGTTTATTTCTATCAAGAGATAGTATTTGTTGAAATATTTAGTCGCATAGTTTTTCTTGGCCGAAAAATATGCAGTTACATGCTTAAAATATAGTACACGACGAGAAGTATGGTTAAAATGAAATTTCATCCACACTAATTCAAAAGAAATTTAACCATCTCTTATAATTTGCAATATTCATTGTTAAAATTCTAATAAGGTTCGTATGCGAACAATCATCCGACGCAACCACTTTCAATACATACAAATGCTAATTTATATGATTAAATCTAAGACAAATTATACTATTGACAAATTATAAGGAATATGACTTATAGTTTGTTTTTTAATTCATCGTTTTTTTTTTAAATTTCAGGCAATGAATTTAACAGTGAATTTGAATTATTTCCATGTAAAATGCCCTCCATTGTAGCTCTCCTCATTTATAACTAGTGGATTAATCTAGTTAGCTGTTGTATTATCAATCGGAGCCTCTCCGTAAATCTAGTGACTAAAAATAAAAATGAAGATAAATACAAATTAATTTTGAATAGAAAGCATCCAAATTCATGACTACCATGTCTAATTAAATCAAAATTTAATGTTAGAAACAAAAACCAAAAAAAAAAAAACAGCCAACAAAAAAGTTCGAAGAGCCGCAGAACGTAACGAGTGTGCACCGGAGAAATGTTGAGGGCATTATCGTCCAAGCACTCCAAGGAGGGATAGCGGCGGGATATTGAGAAAAGATTTTGAAACTCGTTACGTCCGAAATTCTAAACCCGTGCATTTGGAACTGGTCATTTCCAGGTTAGAATACATTACAATCAATGAAATCCTGGCACCAACTTTCATCGGACGTTTCACGCTTCGCCGCGTCTCCAGACGATGGCATGAAACGCAACGTTTTGCCTGAAATTTTATCACCTCCGGCGCGAGTCCTCTCCGTTCTTTCCCTCGCACCTCCAAGGCTCGAACTTGAAATCTTAGCAACTACCATTGAAGCACAAGCCACTGCCGTAGCTCAATGTGGGGCTAAAACTCTGCTTCCACGATCTTCGGCTCAGTATGATTTCGGTGAAGGATTCATCTACTTTACGACGTCCGCTTGTAATCTACGAACTAGGAAAGAAACAGAGCAGGGTTGGAGCCATTATCCTTTAATCTGCAAAATAAGGGATTGGTCATTCGCCATCGTCTTGGAGTGATTTTTCCTGTTCATCTGAACCCTTTCTTATGCTTTGTGCTGCAGCACTGTCACCAAAGTATGTTCTTTTCCACTCTCGAATACAGACTTGGTGCCAATTATGAGCCTCTTGTTTCGTCTTTTCGGCTATAATTTGAGTTTTTTTATTGAAAAAAAAATGGGTTATGAGATCTATTTCAACAGTTTGATGCTTTCGAACTTGATGATTTTGCCATGCCTAATTCGTGGAACGACGATTTGTTATTTGATCATGTGGTATTACATGATTTGCTATGTGCTAACCCTTGTGTAGTGATTATATTCTTCCATTTGTTGTTTTATAAGGAATTTCTCTTCATTGCAATGAAATCAAGAACACGCTCGCACACTGCTTCGCTCTTTCTTCAGCGTTTTGTATACTCCGTCATTTTTTGTTGAAGCGAGGCTCAAGAAGGCAAAAGAGGGCTTCAAGATTTTCCAAATACTAAAGATGCATATGCCTGCATGACTCTTTTAACTTTTTAAACTCTTGTTCCATTTCATTTCCTGCTTTAGCGTCGAGTAGAGCAATTTTAGCGTAAACATGTATTGTTTTGATACTTCGTTCTCATTTTTGGAGAAAAATAAGCTCATACGCAAAGAAGAAAAGCTAACCTTGTGATTGGCATGATCAATCAATTCATTTTTAGTGTTTACAGAAAGTGCTGAAACTTAAATATTTGAAGGATCAATGGTTGGCGTGGATTGGGATAAAATACCTGCTTGATATATCTTCTGCAACGAGCGTGAAATATTTGTGAGAGTCACTTTTCTTTTTTATTTGAATTAAACTGTGGTATCTGGTCAGTTTGGGGTCCGTGATGGAGAGGAATCTCAGTCCAATACTGCGGCAAGAGATAGAAAATTTTGAAAAAGATGCAGAGGGTCGAAGATCTGCGATGGAAGCGTTACAAGCATACGTGAAAGATTTGGATTCTAAGACCATTCATGTATTTCTTAACCAAATTTCTGAAATAAAGGAAACCAGTTCCTTATCTGGAGAATTCATAATTTCACTGTATGAAGTTCTCGCTCGATTTCACGGTGTCAAAATTGTTCCCATGGTCGACAATATCATGGAATCTATAATCCAGACCTTAGCTTCAAGCGCGGGGTCTTTCCCTCTTCATCAAGCTTGCTCAAGGGTGGTTTCGGCAATTGCTAGATATAGCATTGAACCCACAACCCCGGAAGAGAAGAAGAGGCATGTAATATGTTCTCTTTGTAAGCCTCTTTCAGATTCTCTATCAAGTTCCCAAGGGTGCCTGACTTCAGGAGCGGCCCTTTGCTTAAACGCTCTTGTGGACTCTGATAACTGGCGATTTGTTTCAGATGAAATGGTCAGCAGGATTTGTCAAAATGTTGCTGTGGCATTAGATGGAAAGCCCAACCAGACCAATTCACACATGGGTCTAGTTATGGCCTTAGCAAAGCGCAATGCTTTGATTGTTGAAGCCTATGCAAGGCTGCTTATACAATCTGGACTAATAATACTGAATGCTGATCATGAGGAGGGGAATTCTCAGAGGCGCTTGTCATCCATTCAAATGTTGAACTGCTTGATCAAATTTTTGGACCCCAGGAGTGTATTTTCCGAGCTTCAATTGATCATTGAGGCGATGGAGAAGTGTCAGTCTGATAGAATGGAATATGTTAGGGCTGCAGCATTTGAAGTTTTACAAGCTGCTGAGGAAATTGCATTTGACAAGAAGTCGAGGTATGTAAACAGTCATGATTCGATTGATGGGTCAAACTTAAGTAGAAGTGAGGGGGAAGATGTTTCTGGTGATGAAGACCATTCTCCTGCATCTCTCTCACCGGAACCACATATCATGGGCTATTTCCCTGGATATGAATCAATTGTTGAGTCGCCAATATTGACGAATCAAGCTTCTCAGAACTTGAACCCTGGGCATCGGTCTTTGAATCCGAAGTACGTAGTATTAAGAAGTAACACCAGAAGTCAAGTAAGTTTCTCAGCCAATTTTCATATTTTCTTTGAAATTCTGGAATAGATAATTGCATCTGCTGGTCACATGTTTATGGCTTCTTGTTTCTGATCATTGAACTCGGTTTTAACAGTGTATTAGTAGTACTTGAGCAAAAAAGAATAGTTTGCAAGATCTTCCTAGAGTTTGCCCTTACTAAGGCCACCCGGGCCACTGATGTACCACTCCTTTTGCTACCCAAAAAAAAAAAAAAAACGAAAAACAAAGAAGAAGGTTTGCATTTATTTAAGGAGCGCACTAGAATTGGTAATGCACATTGCAGTACTCTATATGAACTTGTTTTCAGTTGACATTAAAGGTTCAGTTTTTTAGGCAGAACATCAAATTAAATTTTGTCTGTTCTTTACTGAAGCTTCAATGATTTCATTTGTTAAGAAATGAGAAGATCGTAACATGTCTCTTCTCTGTAAATCTGTAATTCAGAGGTCACGTGCCCTGGCTACCCCGGAGAGTATTAAAATATTCGCGACCCCTACAAAACATATTCACTCTCTCCAGTATCCATGTGATGTGAACTCGAGTTGCTCCGAGCGACAAAGTAGAAGGTTGAGGAATCTATCCTCAGGCAATATGCATTGGAGCCCAACATCTAGATATGACCACAATTATTTTCCACATAATCTGGGCTATGATAACGAAAGCTTATGTGCTGATGTGCAATTTCACGGTGGGCCGGAGTCAGTTTCATCGACAGAAGACCTTCCTGCTGGTGCTGGCATACTGGCGCCTCCCGAGATGGTTCCTTCCAAGAGCAATGATGCTCGGACTACAGTTCGAATTGAAAAGGCTCGTCATAAGTCTAAACTGAAATTGGTTTTCGGCCTTTCTTTTGTTTTACTGGCAATGGTTGCTCCTCTATTTTGGATCAACATTCAAGATGATCGTTATCTTGTACCTACTTAATGCGTGCTATCTGACGTACATGCTGAGAATAAAGATGATTGATATACAGCTTTAAAAATTTTCAACAGAGGGTTCTGTATGTCTTTGCAAAAGCATCGTAAGTGTCACCTAAATGTTGGGGAGTTCAAAGTCAGATTAGATGATGTAATCCATAGTGTGTATGCTTTGAAGAAAAGGATTAATTTTTCCTGGCACAAAAACTGAGATATATGGTATGTCGTATGCTTCTCTTGTTATATATTGTACTCTTTTTATTATTACTTAACAATTATTATGTTTTCTTTTTAAGATCGCAAAGTCATAATAAAAAGAAGCCACGGCCCGCAAAATATCCTTCTCCTTGTTCACACAATTAGGAAAGCTCATTGTATCATCTCTGTCTTTAATATAAGAACTAGTTGATTAATTTGAGTAAATTAAAGAAACTAGTTAAGTTGGTTATTTGTAATAAATAGTTATTGTCTTTTTTAAAATATCCTCACTAATCAAGTATATTGATTAGAATTATCATTATTATAAAAATTACCTTCCAAAAAAATAGATAAATATGAGAGACAAGGTAGATTGGAATCTTATATTTAGAATCAAAATAAAAATCAAAAGAGATCTTTATATTGAGGACTGGAGGTAGGATTATCGAATGTTCTTGCATGTAGGTCGTTTTTCAGCAAATATTACATATATTTCTAATCCTAATTCTGGGCTTCCACCATTGCACTGCCTTGTATTAACGGCCAGGTCGTTTGGCATAACAGGAAATAGTATCGTTCACTTCAACCTACGCAATCTCTGTAATCGGAAACAATATATTTTTTCCGTCCTCCCAACCAGAAAGGGAAGAAAAATCCATAACAAGGGGGGAAAAAAAATTAACTTGTTTTTGTAGAATAGCGAAGAAAACCTTATCATATTTCATTGATTTGGATTGTGTAGACGCTGGCCACCTATCCACACACCTTCAGGTTTCAGTAATATTGGTTTCAGTGCAGCTGCTTGGCCAACACATATGTATGCATACTTGCTGTAAATTTCAACCCTCGAGCCCGGACTGAATAGGTACATTTCATCAAATCCATTCCTTCCCACTAGAACTGAATTTCTCCTTCCCTGATCCACAGGACAGGCTTTTAGATGTTAATACTAACCAGTATCATATTACGGCAAATCTTTTCGGAGAATAGTAGTTTCACGTCTTCCAGATATAGGGAATGATGAATACGTACCCTGTCAATCACAGTAAAACTTCGAGGTGCATTTGTGTATACTAGGCTTATTTGCTCTCCTAAATGTTTGTAGTTGTCCATTTCTTCATCGTTGGCATCTCCATCATCTTCTAATTGGCTGCTTTCTGCTTCGTTGGAGTTTTGATTTTTTGCGCCCCAGCGTGGAAAGAGTTGTTTCTGAGCCAAGAAATTCCATATTTTGCCCAAACCTTCTTGGCTAAAATCTGGAGGGCTTAAAAAAAATTCTGACGCAAATGGTGGTTTACTGCTGTAGTTTGATCTTTCTAATCCCATTGCATAAGTTGCATCTGGTGTGCTCACTGTCAGATGGCTCAGGATGGATCCTGTCATCTGAATAGGCACGGACCTCAAGTTTGTAACTTCCAGCTCTGACCCTAAAGTGTCTTCTCGCAAATTCACCACGTATTTTAATTCAACCACATCTTCCGATGTTCTGCTTTTCAATTCTACCTGCAAATGGTTATGCAGTATGTTGTCTGAGTAAATAGCTAAAAAAACCATGATAAATCAGATAAGGGCAGACAGACTTGGATTGATTCCTCAGGATTGCCTCTAATATCATGGAGCACCCAATTTGTTGGAGACCACGAAACTTCGCCATCATCAGTTTGAAAATTTAAGTTCAGGGACAACCCTCCTTGAATGATGGCTTCACCATCCTCTCCCTCTGAAACTGCTGTGTGCAGCAACTCCATCTTTTCCCCATGCCACATCGGGGACTTGTAGGAGGTTATCAATCCGCTTGGAAGCATGAGAGTTGCAGTGCTTCCATTTTGCAGCTCCATCTTGGCAACGCAGCTTTCACCAACACCTTCAAAAGTGACTCCATGGCCACTGAATTCTCCTTCCAGATAATCTACATTGAGAGGTTGGTATGGGACTGAAGCCACTAATGGGATTGGAAACTCTTTCTTGGAGTGGTGGTTATGTGGAATATAACTAGTGCAAGGGAAACAAACGCGTGTTGCTTGTCTTGCAGGAGTAGGGATTAATGTGGGAGGGAAATTAAGAGGGCAAAAAAGTGAACGAGAAGCCATGGTCATGCTTCGTATCAGAGTTAGGCTTAGTAGACGCAGTCGGGAGCAAAGGAAAGAGAGTTATTCTGGGCTTTGTTGGCTTGGTTAGAAATTGGTGTGTAAGTGGATAAGATGACAGCTATTGTCGCTTATGTTGTTTCTGGTGAACATTTTAGATATTTCAAGATATTTATCTTTGCCTTTGTCCTTTTCGAACAAGTTGTTTTAGCTTTTTCATCTGCCAACGCGTATAGTGCGAAAACCAATATGATCGGCAATGTCATCATCCATTACAAAAAAGGTTTATCTTTACTCAATTTGCCCCATTTCTGAGGAGCCATTTGAATATTAGAAGGTTAAGGTTTATACCGTCTTAGCATACAAGTACAGTCCGGTAAAGAAACGATATATATTCTTCTCTTTGAACTATGGAAATATGAGGACTTAAAAGCACTTTCATGAGAATAGTTCTGTTCCATGCTATGACAGCAGTGGTTGAGTGAATGATCACAATTTTGCTGGAAGCATAATAATGATGTGAATAAGAGAAATCCCGAAATGATGCAGGCATCGTCCATGCTTATTCTTCTTGTTCGTTTCTCTAATTGACCAGCTTTCTCTGGCTAAGACTCTAGAGACATTTGTTCATTAGAGATGACATTTATGTCGCTTAGACATAGACATTCGGATCGAATCTCTACATTTCTTATAGCTGCAGCAAAATAATCACATCCTGAGTGCTTCTGCAGTTTGACAAATGTAAGACTACATAATATACAAACTTAGCAAGCATTATGTATTTTAATTGAATGTAACTTGTGGGAAGAATAAGGTAATCCTGCTACGGCAAAAAGAATGGAGGAACTGGAGGAAGAATGAACAGGAAGCCGCAAGGATATGTTTTCACATTTCATAAATTTTATCAATTCAATTACAGATTATCATGCTCAATAACTTGTGCTCCTCTCCATTGTTCATCAGGATTTACAGTGACAGGCACCAAAACTGAAGCAGGACCAGTGCAGATAAAGTAGTCCTTTCCATATTTCTCCGACAATGAACCAGGGCTAGACACATATATATCCTCAAAACCCATTCTTATCACCCTAAAGCTCAGCTCACGTCCCTGGAAAAACCAGAAACTGTTAAAAACACAGAATTCTTCAATGAATAACTCATATAATCGGTTATACGTTCTTACCTGATCAACAGTTTCATACTTGGTAGGTGGAGTGTTATAAAATGCCTTTGATCTCTCTGTTGGAGGAGCCGCATACACTCTGCTTATCTTATTCTCCAGAATGGTGAAAGGCACACTCTGCTGAGACCACTTCCCCTGCTTCTCTTCAACCTCAGACTCATAGGTAAGCCATCCAGGAGACTCAGATTTCATTGCTTCAGCAGGAGTCAGGATTTGAAAAGGAGAAGATGGGGGAGGGTGTGGGCAGTAAGAGCAGCTACGGAGTCCGTTGATTGCGGTCCCACCTCTCTTCTTAAAACTAAAATGGCTAAGTATGGCATTGCTCAGAGTCACAGCCTTTCGACCTGTGTTCTTTACTATGACCGCTGTGGCCAAGCTCATTGGGTACAGGGTTACAACGTAGGTGATGTCAAATATTCTACTAGTGTAGCTCAATTCAACCTGAAAGATAACATTGACAAAAACCGGCTTTCAATTTCTGACTCTTAGCGCCAAAGGTTAAGACTTTTAACGTGGTTGGGATGAAAACATAGAGGAACAGAGTACCATTTGGCAATCAATAATTCAGAAACAGAGGAAAAGGGGGGGGAATTAAAATGATTTACCTGAAGAGCATCAATGGCATCAGAATCAACATCACTGACAGTCCAATCTAAAGCAGAGGGAAGTGACTCTTTAGCTCCGGGTTCTAACACTTCATTCAAGACCAAACCAATCCCACCCTTATGTTTGGAAGAGCATGTTCCACCACCAGCTGGAAGTGTGTATAAGACCTCCTCGAAGCCATCATCTTTCCAATAGACTTTTGGTTTGTAGGAAGTGACATGAGCATCTGGTATTTGCAATCTCAAGGAGCTGCCATTTCTAACAGTGAGCTCAACAATGGGGGTGTTATCGGATTCCAAGAACTTGATGCCTTTCCTACCAAATTTCTCAGTAAGGGCCTCTGGAGTAGTGAGAGTGGGGGCGGAAGTTGATGCAGAGGAGGCCTTAACTAAGTTTAATTTGGGGAGTGATAAGGATGGAAAAGAAGCCATGGAGGAGAAGAAAGAAGCTGCGTCAACAGCTTCCACACACGGCGTTCAGTAACATGATGCTAAGGCTCATCCTTACCTCCGCAAGTGTGTGTTCGGATTTAGTGGTACTCTTGCTTAATCTGAAGAAAGCTGTAAGCCAAGGATCCTGTAGCTGGATGGGTTGATAGTGAGAGCCCAAATGGACGCTGAGCCCAATTGTCAGGCCCCAGCTGTAGAACTCCCCTGCTTATTCGAACTTCTTCTGCTTCTTTTTTTTCACCAAAGATTATTCGAACTTGTATGCTTTGCCTTGAATGTTGCTTTACAAGTAAAGTTAGTCCCGAAGCACATCTGGCTTTGAACTCTTTCAACAGGATCAAATTTCAAAGAATAGAAGCCATTTGAACTTGCAAAGGGCGGAGAACCTTGGTTTATTTGATTAATTAATAACTGTTAATATGAAATAGTCACATTTCTAATTAAAATCAATGAAATATGCATAATTAATACTATCTCCGATCTTAATTATAATACCTTATTTGTAGACTACAGCCGAAATCTTATAATTAAGACCGAAAATAGTATATAATATTTGATGCTAGAGAGATCTACATGTATGAGGGGTTTGGTATACTTAAAAAGCACTTTTAGAGATGAACATCAGATTTTTTCTTAAAAAATTGAATGTAAACGAGTTCATAATATGTTTTATAAAATTCAGGAAAATATTGTTTACATGGCATGTGAACATGAGTGTCAAAATACATTGCCTGGCCAAAAAATTAAAAATGAAAATGAGCATTGACTTGATACACACTTCAACTCAGTTCTTACTATAAACATAAAAGTGGACGGATGATCATAAGCGCAACACTTTCCTTGTTGGCGGCTTAGCCACACAGTTGCTTTCATAATCAGCGTCAAAGCCTGTTTGGCCTGCATCGTCTTCCTAATCAACATCCTCAATGTTTAATTTGTGTTTATACACTTGGCACCTGTTCAATGGACGCCTTTGAAATTTCAGCACCATTGCATTTTCAGAAATTAAATTTCACATCCCTTCAAATATATTTGACGTTGTTGAGTTTTTTTTTTTTTTTCCCCCTGCCAACTTAACGTTGTTGAGTTTTACTAGCGCGTTTCTTTATTCCTTAGTTACCGTTAATGTTGAAATTTAAACTCTTACCTCATGGCAATCGATCACTTACCTGACAAACAAAAATAAAACTCAACAAGTTCAAAAAAAAAAAAAAACCACAAATCTCCACTAACTCAGAGTGAACCCTAAGATCTGCCCAATAAGATTTTTACCTATTTTTGGGAGCTTATTAGGGCGTTGCGTCCGAGCTCACACGTTGTATGCAGATAGGAAAAAATATGACACGTGCTAATACTAGGCTTCATTATTTCTAATTGGAAAAAAAAAACCAGTTTTATTAACAAGAATGCAGCACAAAATATTTACTTTATAATTATTACGGTTTTTTATTACTTAAAAATAAAGCATAATAAAAAATGCAATAATAGAAAACATAATATCCTTTTGGCCATCACAAAGCCACAGTTCCATGTTCAATATAAATATAAATATATACATATAATTATATTTTGATATTTTATTCTTATTATTTCCCCTGTCACATACACAATAACACAATCGATAGAAAACATAGTGGGAAGGGAAAAGAAACAAGAGACTCACCATTACCGCATTCCCCTTGTCCTCCACATCATTTCTACACCAAAAAAGGCTCTAAACCATATCTCCACCTAATACTTGCAGGCTTTCGTCTCCTCAACCCTAAATTCCGCGATGCCTTCGCCATAGCTTCACTGCCTGGGGAAAAAAACAAAGCTTCTCTCTCGTAATGCGTTAATTGCGTGTGCCGTTTTATTTTCTCCACTGAAATACAAGGATCCGACTCCGATCGTCCTCGGTTTGTTTTCCTTTTCACTCGCCTTCTTTGATTGTTGCCTCCGATCGTTCTGTTTTTCAGCTTGCCAGACCGATCTGTCAGTGTTTGTGGTCGGTTTGTCCCCAAAAAAAGGAAGTATTTATGGTCGGAATTTTTTTGCCCAAAAGAAATATTTTTTCTCGCCAATCTGTGCATGAGATATTGTTGCTCACTTGAGCTAATTTGATGGTCGGTTGTGAAATTTTTGTGTATCTTATTTATTTTAGAACTTTTTTTCCAGGCATCAGTGATCGGGTTGAAGATTGTTGTTCTTCCTCTGTTGTTGAATAATCTTTGATAATGAAAATTCATTTTATATGTGCGTTGTTACTGCCGCTTCTTCAGATAAAATGATTGACCGAAGTGGTAGCTATGACATCATATCATCTATTATGTACATGAATTCCCTTAGGCTAGTTATTTTGGATTTCTTTTGTTCACCCATTGATTTTCTGCGAAATAGTTTGAACTGATGACCGAGAAAAGTTGTTATAATAAGTATATGCCGTGATTGAATCCAGGAAGGGACGTTTTCCTTATATGGTTTTAGGTACATTCTTTTTGTTGTTTGGCTGTGTGGTATATTTGCTTCCAGTAGCATCTTTTCCCGGTACCTACTGCTTTTTCAGCACTCTACTGTCTTGCATGTCATCAAACTCAAGCAAAATGCCAGCTTCGTAGATGTTCCCCCCCTTTTCAGATATGATTAATCAATATACGTATCAGATAATTCTTCTAATTAATTTCGGGTTTCCTGCTCCTATTGCTGATAGGTTTTCTCATTATATGCTCTGAACTTATTTATCTATTTACCTTAGTTTATTTCATTGCAGAGGTTTTCTGCTGTCTCTGGGGCGACTCAAGTGGGTTATGATTTGAATGGGGAGAGGATGCCAGAGTTGAGAAGTGGAGCTAGAAGATCGAAACGACTTGGTGATCTTCAGCCTGCCCCACTGCCTGTTGATCAAGGAGAGAATTGTGCACAACCTGCTCCAACTAGAGCCAGGAGGAGGGTTGGAGGTGGAAGAGGACGTGGTAATGCCACAGCTGTAGCAAAAGGACCTTCACCAGCGGTACCCACAAGGCGAACTGCAGCTGGTCGAGGTCGGGGAGTAAGATTAATTAATCTTGACCCTGAACCTTGTGAGGTCCTGCCTGATCAAGTTGGACTAGGAGCCCCAGAACCCCTACGTGTTGAGGCAGCGGCCAACAATAAAATTGTGATGGAAGGTGGAAGTGCAGACAAGGTGGTTGGAGCTGAAGAGGAAGCTACCACGACCCCTATTCCTGAGAGGGTATCGCTTGATTGCATGTTCCTTATGTTAGTTGCATTAGTTTATTTCCTAAATTAATGATGCAAAGGCACTATTTTCAGTCATAATAACTTAGACTTCTATGGTCTTTAATGAATAGACTATAGTTGTCACGTTTATGATTTTCTTGTCAAATTCCCAGTTTTAAGAATTTTTCGAACTGAATCAAATAATGTTTGGACTGTTCTGGAAGCTTGAATTAGTGATGGTCTCTTTGATTTTAGATATTTCATAAATAATATTGTGCCATAATGTGTGTATTGAATTTATCTTGAACAGCATTGTGATTAACGTTCTTAACATCTATTTAATATAGATCTCTGAGTTTCTAATCTAAGATGGTTACTTTTTTCGTTGATTCAGGTTCAAGTTGGTACTTCTCCAATGTACAAGATTGAAAGGAAATTGGGTAAGGGTGGTTTCGGTCAAGTGTATGTCGGCAGAAGGGTAAGTGGTGGCTCTGATCGGACAGGTCCTGATGCAATTGAGGTATGATTTTGAAGTTTCTTCTCTCTTTCAGTGTGTTGATTTAATATTAGTTATGTGATATATGATGCCTCTCCGCTCGTTTCCTTATTTGAACTGTGTTTGCAGGTTGCACTGAAGTTTGAGCACAGAAATAGTAAAGGTTGCAATTATGGACCTCCTTATGAGTGGCAGGTCTACAAGTAAGTAATTTATGTTTTGTGTCTGAACAGGTTTGTGAAGCTTATTTCTTTCAAGCTTCAATTGTTAGTTTTTGTTTTCTAACTAGATATTGGGCCGTGCGCGTTGCATAGAATTTAAGTCTGGATGCCGCACTATTCATGACTCTCTGTACAATGTGGCTTTAATTTATATATATATATATATATATATATATGTTGATTCTCTCTTCTGGCTTCTTGTAATCTGTCAGTACTTTGAATGGGTGTTATGGCATTCCCTGGGTTCATTACAAGGGTCGACAAGGAGATTTCTATATTCTGGTGAGATATGATTTGAGATTTCTATATCCTGGACTTGCTTCATAGTGTCTAAAGGAAAAATAAACATTGCAGGTCATGGACATGCTTGGACCCAGTCTTTGGGATGTATGGAATTCACTTAGCCAATCGTAAGATTTGACCTGCCCCCTCTCTTTGCAATTTATACATGCACTTTGCATGGTTTCAGTTTCTTTACGTTTTTCCTGAATAATTCCTTACCTTCTGGACAGGATGTCACCAAATATGGTTGCCTGCATTGCTGTGGAAGCAATATCAATTCTTGAGAAGCTCCACATGAAAGGGTAAATCTCATTAATATCTTTCTTCTCTGTAGGGTTTATACTTCCTGTTATTTTGAATAGTTATGACTGATTGCTTTTGCAAACCCAAAAAAATCTTTTCATCAAACAAGGTTTGTGCACGGAGATGTAAAACCAGAAAACTTTTTACTTGGTCAACCTGGAACGGCTGATGAGAAGAAGCTATATCTTATTGATCTTGGGTTGGGTATGCTTTCCTTCCTGACAAGTCCTGTTTCTACTTTTTACATAGTGATTAACTTGTGCTACTCTACCAATAGAAGGTTTTAAGTATTTGGAATTATTTGATATATAATTCCTTCCATGTGTCATCTTCAGCTTCAAGATGGAAGGATGCATCATCTGGTCAGCATGTTGACTATGACCAGAGACCTGATATTTTCAGGTTCGTACATATGTCATTTGAGGTTAACATGTCTATTTTATTCTTTATATATTGATTATATGGCTTTTGTTCATAGGGGAACAATAAGGTATGCCAGCGTGCATGCACATTTAGGTAGGACAGGAAGTCGAAGGGATGATCTTGAGTCACTGGCCTACACGCTAATATTTCTCATAAAAGGGAGGTTACCGTGGCAGGGTTATCAGGTGCATTTTTATATAAATTCTTACTGCTTAATATATTGATTCGTCCAAGGTTTGGTTTTATATAAATGTTGTCCGTTCTTTTGACCTATATACAGGGTGACAATAAAAGTTTTCTTGTCTGTAAGAAGAAGATGTCCACTTCTCCGGAGTTAATGTGTTGCCTTTGTCCCGCCCCATTCAAACAGTTCCTTGAAGCTGTTACTAACATGAGATTTGATGAAGAGCCAAATTATTCCAAGCTTATATCTTTTTTTGAAAGCTTGATTGAACCATGTGTACCAATGAGACCGATCAGAATTGATGGAGCTTTAAAGGTTGTAGTGACAGCTCTGTCTTCATTGTTTTTATGTTCGTTTTCATTGATTTCAGTGATGAGTTTAATATCTGAATGCTAACCTCCTCCATGTCTATGTGCACAAATAGGTTGGACAAAAGCGTGGGAGGATGCTTATTAACCTGGAAGAAGATGAGCAGCCAAAGAAGAAAGTACGCATGGGGAGTCCTGCTACACAGTGGATTTCAGTCTATAATGCACGTCGTCCCATGAAGCAAAGGTTTATTAGACATTCTACTCAATTTGGCATGTTTAATTAAAAAAAACTAATCATGACATGCAAGTATATTATCATATGAAAAAGTTTGACAAATTGGTTACTTTTGATATGGGTGGGAAAGAAATATTGTTTTACTTTTGATATGGGTAGGAAAGAAATATTGTGAAGTTACACCTTAAAAAGTTTATTCATAGGATACCAGAAAGGTTTATGGTTTTATTCTTGGTACACCTTTTTTTTTTGTTTCTTTTTTCAACGGCAAATTAGTTTGAAGGGATAAACTATGGATGAGTTGTAACAATTTTGAAAGTTGTTTTTGCATCATACTTACAGATGGGTTTAATAGATTTTGATCTTTTAATCTCGCTTCTCTGGTATTGCATTTATGGCGTGATATTGCTTATTACTAATAATCTAAAAGGTAGCAGTGATGCTTTGTCATTCCTAGCATGACTCCCGGAATTGTCTTAGTTAGACTTTCCAATTTTATGCATTAGCTGGTATTGATAGAGTTCCCCTGGCTTGGCCTTAATGATTGTTCCGTGGGTGTAGGTACCATTACAATGTGGCAGACACAAGACTTCGTCAGCATGTAGACAAGGGTAATGAGGATGGGTTGTATATCAGCTCTGTGGCCTCCTCATCAAATCTGTGGGCCCTAATCATGGATGCAGGAACAGGTTTTTCTTCCCAGGTGTATGAATTGTCACCTGTCTTCCTGCATAAGGTGGTTCCATGATATATCTGTTTAATCTTTTATACAATCATGCATGACTATAGTATTATTGATATTGACATGATGGTAATTGGATTTCCATCAGGACTGGATTATGGAACAGTGGGAGAAAAATTATTATATCAGTTCAATAGCTGGTGCAACTAATGGGAGTTCCTTGGTCGTCATGTCAAAGGGTTAACTATCTGTGCTTCCCTTTTCTTCTATCATTTTATTAGGGATGCATACGCTATCTTCTACCCTCATTTGTTTTTTTTATGCTCTTTTATACTGTTTATTTATAGAGTGCTTTAACCCATTCCATAATTTTTTCAACAATTGTTGCTTGCCTTTGGTGCTCTTGCGTGATTTGTCTACATTTCCTGAATCCTTTCACCGGTATTGCGTTGTCCTTTGTTCTCTAGATTATACTTTGCAAACTTATATTTATGGGGGCCATTATTTGCCTTTGAGACAAATTTGATAGGAATTGGTTAGAACACATTGCTAGGCTTGGTAATCTGTATTACCATTTTTATAATTCACGTTCAACTAGTTTTTGTGGTTTAGAAAGCACTGTGGAGGTGTCAATCATTTTTCTCCCTTTCTCTCTAGTTTCTTTCTCTTCTTGGGGCCAATAGCCCATAGGATGGGCTTCTGTTTTTCTCTATTAACAAAATTTTAGGTTGATGAACTCTGGACCTGACTTTCATGGTTAATTGCGACATTCACCTGAGGTTTCTCCGTTGAAATGATTTGATTCAGTTAGGAAGGCTGACAAATCACAAAGCCAGCTTCTGTATGATTATAATCAGGGTTTACGTCATGAACTTTTTTTTTTTTTGGGGGGGGGGGGGTTGGAAAAAAGCCAGCGGCGTTAAATGCAATGTGTTGAATAATGCTTGTTGATTCGGTACTGAATCACCAACTAGTCGCCAATGCCTTAAGCTAGACTAAATTTTCTGGGTTCTTATTTATTTTCCCTCCTTGATTCTTTTAGGTGAGGTGGGTGGGTTTGTCAGCTGTGAAGCTTATGTTAGGCTTGCAATGGAAGTTAATTATAAAAATTATTTCACCTCTTTAATTGGCTCATAGGACAAGACCTTCTGATCTCATGATGTTCTTTCATTGTAGGAACTCCTTACACACAGCAATCCTACAAAGTGAGTGAATCATTTCCCTTCAAATGGATTAATAAGAAGTGGAAAGAAGGATTCCATGTTACCTCCATGACTACTGCTGGCAGTCGCTGGGGTGTTGTAATGTCCAGGAATGCTGGGTATTCTGACCAGGTATATAAAGTTTTTTAATCTTGATTTTCGGTTTTTAATTAATTTTCTTTTACCTGACTCATTAAACTAATCATCCATTTCCTATTATAATGATGCAAGGTTGTGGAGCTTGACTTTCTATATCCAAGCGAAGGAATACACCGACGATGGGAAAATGGCTACCGGATAACATCCATGGCTGCTACTGCTGATCAGGCAGCTTTTATACTGAGCATACCAAAACGCAAGCTGCTTGACGAAACTCAAGAGACTCTGCGCACCTCTGCCTTCCCTAGCACCCACGTAAAGGTATTCAATTATTTCCATTATATCCATTAGATGTTGGTTTGTTGTTTTAGTATTCTTGACAAACGTGTCAGCAGGTGATAGCATATAAATCCTGCCCTCGAAAAAGTAGTTTAAAATGATAAAAATATTCTGAAACTGCAATATTGTAATATCACTGTGTTGCCTCCCCTTTTACTAAAGTGGTAATAGTAATAGCTGATGTGCTGGTTTTGCAGGAAAAATGGTCCAAGAATCTCTATATTGCATCAATTTGTTACGGGCGGACTGTGTGCTAGTTTCTGGGACATGAATTTTGGCATATCCTTGGAAGAAAGGAATCAAAATCAGAAAGGTGAGAGGGCTTATGAGAAACATTAAGATGGAATGGGTTGCTTTTCTTTTGCCCTCAGTTATTGATGGGGATCCCGGGCCTTCCTGACGAATTTTTCCTCATTAATTGGTAAAGAACAAAAATGGAATGGGATAGCATATTTGATGTACCCCAACCAACTCCGGCCAATGGGAAAAGATCAGTTAAAAGTATTCTGATGTAATAGAAAGGCTGGCTAATCGGCCTTGTTCCGTGAATGTGCTTCAAACAATTTGCGATTTTGTATGTAATGATATATATTTCTTTACCATCTTTCAGCTCCATATATGATTGCCTTGGGTTTTGAAGCTCTTGCAAGTTCCCTTTTTCCTCAAAGTTCGTTCCAACTAAGGCTCTAGGTGTTTCTACGTGAGTGACGTTAGACCATATCAAGTTGTCTCACTTTAATATGCTAGCTTAATGCTAAGCAAGAAGTTTAATACAATCGATTAAAATACATGAAAAGCCATTTTTCATTGGTTGGTTTTTGGGGCTGCTTTTGAATATCCTGGTCAAATGAAGTTTGTGAAGTTCCGCATTCGTGTTTTCCTTGTGTGCTTTTAGTTTCCACTATGACATGTAAATCTTTTGGGAATAACTGGTTGTCTCAGAAAACTGACCATGTGTAATGAGGTGTGTTTGTCTGGGGTGTATTTGCCATCGACAAAGTGCTTACGTTTGCTTGTCTTGAATTAAAATGTGTTGCATGTGCTTAGCCTAAAATATACATGCTTTTTGTGCCAAAAATAATCTTAAATGCTTCGCAAAGTTAGCATACGCCTTCCATATTCATTGTATTTCATGGTACCAATAATAACGTTAAATCTCTCGTGCAATGCTTAAAAAAACTACCCGTGCATTAAAGAAGGTCCAAAACATTTCCCTCGTGCAATGCTGAAGAAAACTGCCCATGTATTAAGGAAGGTGGGTGTGACTGCTGTGTTCATCTCGAATATTCAACTGAAAAACAGATTTTGAGAGAAAAATTTAACTGCTAAATGGGAAACATATGCATACGTTGCTGATGAAATTTTTGGATGTTTCCAATGTTTTTTGGTCAATGTTTTTCATTCTTCGCAGATGAGGAATTTCTGAAGACTCCAAAAATTAGATTATCTTCTTTTAGTCCAGTCTAAGTAGGAGCCCAATTTGTAGCCCAACCATTATTTGGGGTTTAAAATTGACCCAAGTAAGCTTTAGTGTCTAGCCGCAAAGATGTAAAACCCTAAACCCTGCTAAGCCCCGGTCACAAAAAAAAAAAAACACTACTAAGCCATGACGGCGCACTGGCCGGCTACTGTTGTAGACCTTTTGATTTGCGAAAGATGAGACCTCCGAGGGGCGGTCGCGACGGCGGATTTAGAGGTGGCCGTGATAGTGGCCGAGGAAGAGGTGGCCGTGGCGGCGGCGGTCGTGGTGGAGGCGGCTTTCGTGATGAAGGCCTGCCCACCGAAGTAATAGGTTTGTCGCCTCGACCTTCTAGGAACTAGGATACGTTGTCAAATTCCGTGTTTTGCGTTGAAGAAAGTGTCGTGGCCTGTTTTCAATTTTGGTTCTAGGAAATCGCATGGAATGATGATCGGAAGCTATTCACTGGCTATTCAAATTCCCTTGCTTCTAGAAGCAATTGAACACCACGGCCTACGGCCAGTGTCCAACTCGTTTTTTACGGATTTTACACCCGCCGAAGGGGGAAAAAAACAATTGTACTTATTTTTCTTTTTTCCAAGCCTCTTGGGTGAGCCAATGAGCACTGTATTTTAAAGAGGTTCTTTGACATGTGCAGAGGTCTCAACATTTCTACATGCATGCGAGGGAGACGCAGTTACAAGGCTCACAAATGAAAAAGTTCCCATGTTTAATGCTCCTCTATATCTGCAGAATATGACTCAGATTGGAAAAGTTGATGAAATATTTGGCCCCATAAATGAGCTGTGAGTTCTTGTTCTTTGTTTTGGCTTGTTGATTTCTTCTAGTGTTTTGTCTATTTTTAGAAGTGAGATATAATTTCGTATTCAATTGCACTGTTGCAGTATTTTTCAATCAAGATGATGGAAGGGATTGTGGCAACTTCGTATTCATCTGGAGACAAGTTTTATATTGATCCAAGGAAATTGTTGCCTCTTGCTAGATTTCTTCCACAACCCAAGTATGTTTCTCTTACATCTCATTGCAGAAATAACCTGCTCGTTCACTCCACAATTAGTGTGATTTCCAACATTTCATAAATATTTGAATTTGTGATTTCCAATATCCTATGCTATTTTCTAATTTTAACTTTACCTGGTAGGTGGAGGCTTATAAAATACGATGATGTTAAATACGATGTAAACTTAGTTACTTTGGTTTTGCCCGTCCCCTGATGTATTTATGTAGTATTTTTCTCTAACTAGGAGAAGGAAAACTAGTAATTATACTATGATTTGATCAATGGTCTGCTTTGTTGGGAATGAACGGGTGAGCTTGATTTTTGAGTTCCTTTATTGGTTGCTTTACCCTGTACATCCCGGATTTTGTTTATCTTTATGGACTTGCTGGAATGTCATGTATGATCATCTATCCATGTGAGAAAGTATATCAAAACGGCATTCTTTCTCATTTTTCAAGTCATTTCTCATGTATTTGAATGCTTTGATCTCATTCATTTCGCACCTTGGGAGTGGGGTTCTTCCTTGCGAGACTTACAGTCTATTCATAGTTTTTAATGTTTCATACTGTTAACAATTTTCATGGATATGAAAGGAACTAGGAAAAGGTTTACGATGTTTTTTTATTTGTGAGACTCTTGCTGCTAACTTCACAAGATCTTCCAAGTGAAATCCTTGATAAGTGGAGCCTTAAGCAGCTACTGTTTTACCTCTATACAGCCTTAAGCAAGGGATGCTTGTACTCTGATCCTTATAATCCTTGCTTGCTTCAGTTGGTTCAGGAAGCTTTGACATGGGGATGCAATGTAATAGCTGGGTGGAAGGGATTATCCTTTGACTATTGGATAATTATTTATCAAGCGGGATCCTTTGTCCCTTACCGTAGTAGCTAGATGGTGGGCTAGGTCCTTTTGCCTAGATGTGCTATTATAAACCTAGATGGCATTGTCCTGCTGTTTTTGTTTAATTTTTACAGTCTCTCCCTTTTCATTGATGCAATTCTGTACTATACAATCGGCTCTCTGTGACTTGTGTGGCTAAGGGGGTGTTTGGATCACCCAAGAAGCACTTTTAAATTGTGCTTTTACTCAAGTCGAGACAACTTTTTTTATATATTTATTTCGTATATTATAAAATTATTTTTAAAACTATGGTTTCGTTTCTATCCAAACATCAATCTCACTATCAACTGCAGTGGTTGCTTAAGCTTTATACTTGTATATGCCATGCTGACATTGCTGGTTAATGTTCTGGGGTCATTGGAATTCAATCAAATTGAACATGATTGGTTGGTTGCTGTTGCAGGGGTCAGCCACAAGCTTCTAGAGCTGGAGGCCGGGGCAGAGGCCGTGGTGGAGGCAGAGGCGGCGGCGGCGCAGCTTCTTCCGAGGAAGGGGTGGCCCAAGGGGTGGGAGAGGTGGTCCTCCTAGGGGTGGTGGTTTCAGGGGAAGGGGGAGATCGTAAGAGACGTTTGTGTAATTTTAAGGTGCTTGAATCATTTTGTTTTGAAGAGAAGAAAGGGGCCCCAATGAATGGATTGGAGGCTGAAATGTTTCTCAGGCCTTTGATAAGTTCCATAGCTTCCTCCTGTATGTAGATTTGAGTGAGTCACTGATTGCAAGATAATCGAGACTTGTACTACGTAATGTCCAATGAATGTACTATTCTTGTGTCACGGTTATATTGATGCAACCACAAGTTGTTCTTGGATATTTTGTGCGTATTCCCGATTCAGACTCTATCAGAAAGTTTTGAGCTGAAGATCATATTCCGCAGTTGGGGATTAAGAAGTTGTAGTTGTTTTCAATAAAATAAAAAACTAAAATATATAATTTAACATGATGCAGGCACATTAAAAAAGTTTCCGGGGTTGAGCATTGATCGAAACCAATTCCATCTTCATAGCTTCTAAAACCACCGGTTGCGATCTGGATGACACAAGCCTCGCACGCGGAGGGTCTATAGCAATTTTATTTCAGATTAAGGAAATTGACATCATAACAGGTGAATAAATTATATTAGGCGGACATGCCTTTTGTTTTGATAACTCAAAAGGCATAAATGAACCTAATAAAGCTGAGGTGGAGGTTATAATCCACTCATCGCCATGAAAACAACAAAAAATTGTCATGCTAACAGAGACCAGAATGTCAAGATTCTTCAGTTTTTATTCAATGCTGCAGCAATCATAGAATGATGATATCAAGCTTCCCACCCTCTGAGGACTGTAGCCCGAGCTACACGGTTAACCGCGAGGGTGAAGGCTCCCATGCGAAGATCACAGTTGTGGGTTTTGCACATCTCTTTCACATCTTTGAAGCCCCTTGTCATGTACGTCTTTAGCTCATTGTTCACTTTCTCTTCATCCCACATGAACCCTTGGATGTTCTGCGCATCATAAACCCATCTTTTCAATGTCTTTCTACAGAATATTCTACTGTCAACTTAACTGCGAAATCTCATAATTTACCTGCACCCACTCAAAGTAGCTAACTGTAACTCCTCCTGAATTTGCATATATGTCTGGAAGAATTACAACCCCTTTCTTTTTCAAAATCTGCAGAGTAGCCTAGTAGTTAAGAACACTATTTCACCTTCCTCGTTCGCTTTTAACCTTGGAAGAGAAAACATACACACTGACCTCATCCGCCTCTGGGTCAGTTGGGTGATTTGCTGCTTCAATAATAAATTTCGCTTGGATTTCATTTGCATTTTCCCTTCAAACAGAGAGGAAGTTGAAATCAGTCTATTACAAAGGTACTAAACTAAGGAAAGGGAAAAAGCAAAAAACAAAATACTCTTACTATTTTTAAATTTCACGAGTATCTTGTTTGCCTGAGGGAAGAACAAAAGACTTGTTCAAGGAAAAGTACCTATTAATGACTCCTCCAAGAGCTGCAGGGATGAGAACATCGCAGTCCTCAACCAATACTGATTTGGCATCTATTGGATCACCACCATGGAATCCCTTAATGCCTCGATGCTCTCTGGAATGCTTGAGCAGGCTTGGTATGTCAATTCCATTGCTGTTCTTTATGGCACCTGTAATGTCACTCACGGCAACTATCTTCCCACCTTTCTCACTTATCAATTGTGCGGCCCACGACCCCACATTGCCGAAACCCTGAATTTATTTCCTCAAATTTATCACAACACCAAATACATAACAAAACTCTTCTTTTTTCTTCATTCATCATTACAATCAGCAGTGTCTTCAAAGTTCAAACTGACGTCGCCTTAAAATGCTTGCAACATCCAATAGTAATAATACAAATACCAATTTGAGCCAAAAAAAAAAAAAAAAAAAAAAAAACTGCACGAGACGTACCTGGATGACAAACCGTTGTCCAGAAATGCTCTTCCCATGCTCGTTAAGCAGAACCTCTGTGGCAAAGAGGACTCCCCTTCCTGTGGCCGCATCTCTGCCGAGAGATCCACCAAGATCCTTTTGGGAAATTTAGAAGAAAAGGAGAATTTTTTTTTATTAAGCATGATGATTGCATGAGACTCACAATTAAGAGGAATAATTTACTTACAATAGGTTTTCCAGTCACAATTGCAGGAGAATAGCCATGAAACTTTGAGTACTCATCCAGTATCCATGCCATAGTCTGCATAACCAAGCAGAAAGACAATGCTAAATTTCAAAATCAAATTTAATACATGTGATACACAAGATCCTGAGCATTAGTAGAATTTACAACAAGAAGCAGTAAATGGACTGGGCTAAAACTTTATACAGACAAACCTGTGGTCCCGTTCCCATATCAGGTGCGGGTACATCTGTGTGAATTCCGATCAGATCGTGAATTTTCTGGGTGAAAACTCTAGTAAGCCGTTCCAATTCTGACACACTTAATTGTGAAGGGTTGCACCCTATTCCCCCCTTGGCACCACCATACGGTATATTTGCGACAGCTGTCTTCCATGTCATTAGTTGTGCTAAAGCATTCACTTCATCTGGGTCAACCTAATTAGTCCAAGAAATTCTGCGGGTAAGAACAGGGATTTAAAGCACACAGGGTAACACAAAAATCATATCAAAGGTTCGCAGGATGATTTCAATTAGAGGGCGGGTCACAAAAATACTCGTAATTTTTCGTCCTGTCATTCTTGTGATTCCTTTATATACTTTAACTAAATTCATCATATTTCTGGCAAAGTAACTGAGATTTTGAGTCAAAATCACAATATATATGTATATATAACCTCAGGATGGTATCTGATTCCTCCTTTCATTGGCCCTCTGGCATTATCGTGTTGAATTCTGAACCCAACATATGATGCCAAGGTACCATCGTCTTTAGGAATGGTACACTCAACCTGCATTTTCATTCAACAAATTGAAATATGCGAATGAAAACACGCCAAGTCAGAATAAAGTGCTAGTATAATTTCAAGGGAAACATAGAAGAAATCTTACTTGCCTTGATTTCTCTGAAAGGGATAAGTAAGCTTTTCTCAAGCTTAGAATCCAAAGCCAAGAGCCGAGAGGCCAGTTTGAAGTTTCTGTTTGTGGCTACTAGCGCATTCATTGTTCCCCCACGGCAAACCGAAAATCTAAGACAAGAATCAGTCTACTGGTCAGAGATATATGAGGATGCCAAAAAAGGGCTTACAGTATCTTTATTGTTACGGAATACATGTATCTTTAAGCATACATATATGTTAAGCGGGTGGATCAGAGAACAGATCAATCCGCCCAACTGTTTTTATTAGAAAAGCCAGCGATATGTAAGAGAGCCACGTATAGTCAATGTCAGCAATAATATCCTATTAAGAGGCGGCTAAACGATCATATGGGAAAACAAAATGGATGAGTACCATCAGTGTACGATGCGTGTGGTTTTAGAGCAAGAAATTCATTATTAGTAAGCTGGAAAAACATGATATCTAAGGGCTGAATAAAGATGGTTATAGCTTATAGTTTCGTTTGCAAGACACGGTTCACTGCGGCAGTTTATCTTATGAACCAGTCAGTTGCCTAAGTAAAATATTGAAGACCCAACTTTAACATTCTACAGGAGAAAAAACTATTATTTAGTTCAACGAAGTTTACATGTTTTGTCAGGGAGATTTAAACTTCTTTAGATCTCTAATAACATTCTAATAGAGAAAACCTGTTCTGAAAAAGGACCCAGTTGCATAGTACAAAATTACAGATTAAACTTTCTGCTAATTCACAGCTGATCTGGGTTCATGATTACTGCCTTCTTAATGTATTTAAAATGAATTGTTCGACCAGCACCCTTTCTGTTAACACGTCATACCATATTATTGGGCCAAGTGTTGCTGCAATTACCAAGAAACGATCACGAGAGAATCACCCATTGACACACCAAGAGGTCAGCACCTAAGGGGTTTCTATATTATGAATTTGCATTCCCAGAGGCTCCAAAACCATCTCAGGAGGTGTTATACAGTTCAGGTATAACACAAGATACTCTAACAAAGGGACAAAATGAGTTGTCACTAGCGGGAGATTTATTTTGTTTATAGTGATTGAAGCTAAGAGAATCACATTCATTGCTTTCCGGAGCCTCAAAATTGTCAATTCAGATCTCCGATATTAAGGAGTATATTTTATTTATCTAAACACAAACGCATCTCATTTCCACTATTGCGGAAGCATGAATTCTTGCAACATAATATTTTATTACAGATTCATAAAGAAACATACAAATCGTCCTAAACTATTGGCCATATGCTTGCCTTTCACGATATTCTATCACTACTATTGATCACGCAAACCCTTCTCCCTGATATAGCTTCCACCTCGACAACAAATATGGAAAAAAAATTCTTTCCTTTTCTGTTTAATTTATGAAAAAATTCCCCTAGTTGGGAATTTTTTTCTGCTATTGTATTTTAAAGGCCTAGCTCTGAATCGAATAACTTCTCCCAAAGAACTCTTGGGTGGCACGTAAAATAACATGTGATGCTAGGTGTCCCTGCCAACTTAGCTTTTACTATTTCATCCCACCCAAATTCAACGAAGATAAAGTAAAAGTGCAGACATAGTCGTCCTAAAATTATCATCATGTTTAGCAGAAAAATAGAGGAGAAGGTTGTGCCTGGGTTATAAGCAGGCAGCTTCACATAGATGAGAAGATAATTGAAATGAAATAGTGACAAAGGTCAAAGGTAAAAAGCCTTTATTATTGATCAGCCACGCTTTAATATCGAACTTTGGAGCGCCATTTTTGGGAGCTACACTTTCCTAGGCCATAAACCATTGTTTCACAAATTCAACAAGTGGGATGGAAAAGAAATTAAAAACCAGATGCCGTTTCCAACGCGGCTTTCGTATGGCGTTTCCCCCACTTTTATTAAAATAAAAAATTATCAATAATTATACAGATAAAAAGAAACGTTTACAATAGAAAAGTCGTTTGGGTAGGTGAACAATTTAATATTCAAAGGATAACATTATCCCTAACTGCAGGACACTGGAGGAGGCAGATTGAAGTTTATGGTCCCACTTCCAAGTTAATGCATTCCTTGCACATATCCAATCCAGGTCAAGCACACGTCAGTTTCCTATATATTTTATGTGGAATGGACCCCACGAAAAATTGATAATATTTGATAAAGTATATTTAAAAAAATATGTTTGTTTTCACTACGCCAGAAAGGCAGAAACAAGCACCGACTTTTGTTATTAAAGCCAAGCCATAATCTATATACTGGAATTGAAACAGAGAGTTTTGATCATCTTCTATGTTACCGTTCAGAAAAAGTAACGATGTAATGGAAATGCATCAAATCATTGTGCTAAGGGATAATATTCATAAATCACCAGGTGCTTGTTTCAGCCTTTCAATGGGAGGGAGTAAGAACTTCGATCGACGACAGATGCTAAAAAGTTAGGAAACATACCAGGAGACAGGATGTAAGTCGGAGCGGGAAAATGCTGAACTGAGATCAGTTTGAGGGTGGATTTGATCGAGGGAGACTCCCAAGGTCCGACACCTGATAAAATTTGGGGATCTGTATTTATATATAGAGGGAGGAGAAGCCCGAACTCTGCGAGAATCAGAATTGAATTCCCAGTGGAATCTAATTCAAAAGCAAACTCCTTGCAAACACCAAATCCGCCCAAAACAACTCTTGATCAAATCAAGTGCCGATGTGCCTACTTTCGTCAGAATTACAATTCGCAGAAGGAATACGATGCTTATTTGAGGACGTAATATCCACTAGACAGCATATATCAACTCAAGCTCTATTAACCCCTCGCATTCTGTTCCTCACAGACACTTTGCAAAACACTTTAGCATCGCTCACAATGACGAACGGGTCGCAAGGGAACGTGGGTGATGGGTTTTCCTGCAACATGATTATATATACAAATGGGTCGGCAGGTACGTGAATCCAACGCGATTCCCACATAGCCCAGCCATCTTTTTTTTTTTTTACAGTGTTTACAAAAAGGGTTAATAATGGACTCCTAGTAATGACATGATTACTTTGAAATTTGAATTTCCCCACACAGACATAGTGGTTTTTTGGTTTTCTGAAACGTCGCCTTTTGAAGTATCGTCATCCAGAAAAGATGGCACCACAAAATACGGAGGATTAAAGGTTCATCAAGATTAATCTCTCTTTACCAGATATTTGGTGTTTTCTGAATAAGCCTCTACCAAATTTTCTTTACCTTGTTTGGTTTTTCTCTTTCACCCTCCTTTCAAAATCGGACGTTTTGCCTTTCCTCTTCAGAAGGGGCCCATAGAAGGCGATTATGGAAGAGCGAATTACGCAGCTTCTTGCAATGAGCTGTCCATTTCTTCCTAGTCTAAAAGTCACCAACGGTTTGAAATTCTATAAAGAAGCAATGCTTTGGCTTGGAATATCTTGCTCGGCTACACCTTACTTGCAGAAAAATAACCATGTTTCTGGTGAGTGATGGAGCAGAGTGATTATCAAAAGTCTATTTTAATTTAATTTCCGCTTATCTAAACGAAGACATAACCTTTGGAAACTCCAAGGACGGAAATTTTGTTTCTAAATTCCTATAGAATTTTGAACGTCATAGGGTAATGCAACGTAAGAAAGCAATATCGGAATCAGTCACATGATTCAAGAGAAGGCATGAACGTTGTGTATTCCCACGTGTAACTCCGCCTATCTTTTGTCCTGTCCCGTAACAATTTTGCTGACTCGCACAGAATTCGAGTTTGCGTAAGCCAATAACCGAGCACATCCAAAGTATCTGGAGGCGAAACTGTATTTGGTCTCTGCTTTTCTATCACACCGACGTAGGCCAAGATCGAAGTTGGTACCCTTCCTATTTTAACATTATCATTACCCTTATTCATTTTCACCGAAAATAAAAATGCAAATTCTCTTTTTATTAGTTGCTTCATGAACCGGTCAAAAAATTCAAAGTTTCCTTTCACTGTCCAGGGAAAAAGACAAAAGCTTGCATGATTCACGACCCTGGAATTCGCTCTCACAGCCTACCAACTTGATAAAGCCTTCCAACCATTTTCCTTTCTTGACCGCGAAAGTGAATTACACGTTAAAAAAAAAAACGAATCTTGTGCATATCTTTTTAAAAGAAGCGCGTGATAATGCTACAACTTTGTTTTACCATGTTGTGATGAAGTAAAAAAAAAAAACTAACCAAGAGAGGAAAGGACAAGATCTTTTCCACCGAAAAAAAAAGGACAAGGAAGAAATTTAACTTACAACCCACCAAGGCACATCTTATCCTTCTTCTATCTGCAGAATCTTCGACTTAAAATGCATGTACCTGAATGCAAAATTCTACACATATTATACGCCAATCAGGTTAAAGCACTGCAGCAACAAACGGTGAGAGAGAGGATTCCATTATTCTAACCATTAGAGTTGATGTTCCCTGATTCCGAGGCAGTATACGTTGCTCAGGATCACGATCAACAACTAAATATAACGTGTAACACATTCAAGTGTAGAAAATCATGGTTTCAACTTTTAACACTCTCTCTCTCTCTCGGTTGGGGGGTGTCCTGATGACATTTTATTGGCTGTCTGAATACTGGAAGTTCCTTGCTCTGTGCCTGCGTCTCGTTTAAATAGGAAACAAGAGGAATATATTTGATGCGTAATCACAATGTTTCTGGCATCAGAACAAATTGATAAAATGAGAGGGAATAAAGTGTAACTTTGCTGGACCAGAAGAAAGCATGTTTCTTTTTCTTTCCAGTTTCCACTAGTACAACTGGAAAAGCAGAGGAGACTTCATTGTTGTTAAAAACAGGTTGAAGTGAACTCAATAGTCCCGATGAAAAAGAAAATTTAAAAACTCAAGAATTAAGATGACAGAGTTGATGAAAGAAAATAAATAAATCCAACACATTGATGAGGGAATCTTTAGATGGAATTCCTTATCAGAATCTACTTTGTATTTCTCATCTGCCTTTCCACAGGCACGGGATGGATTACCTTGTCAGTGGGGCGAGTTATCAGATACGTCTCTCTTGCATTGTGTGCGCTTTTACGAGCAATTTTTTCCCCCCTTCTTTTTCTTTCTTGCCTCAAAATTAACAAGAAAATCAAAAGCAATTTTTTGACTTAATTCTGTGGAAATTTTTTTTTGGCGGGGGATGTTTCGAATAGTCAGTTTATGCACGACCCTTCTCAATAAGACAGAATGAAAAATTTAAATATTTCAATAATTCAAGTACATTCATTGAATTAATCATAAAATTTTTTTTGCCAACAATCAATTATAAAAAATTAATTTCAAAAATAGAAAATATTTGATTGGAATATAAGTACTTAAAATGAGTTCGACAAACCAAAAATAATTCTGAAGTCAAATAAACTAACAAATGTCCCACCGGACCCATTTTTGTCAGCAGTGCATATGATGCCCAATTTTTTTGGGCCGGGATATGATGGCCCAAGTGATTCCATTAAAAGCTGGAAACAGAGAACACAAGCCCATAAAAAGTTGGTCCAGGCCCAGACGAAAACCCACCCCATATTTTGCCGCGTCCCTGTTCTTAGCCACCGACAAGGCGTTCTCGCTCTTATCTATTCATAAATTCAGTCAGCTTCGGAGGATTTTAATTTTTGGTCCCGAGCGGGAAACGTGGGATCTAGAAGATAATCCCATAAGTAGTGGGTTCAGCTGGATCCCACCATGTAATGAATGAGCACCTTTTTTTTTAATTTTTAATAGTGAGAAGTCAGAAGGGGATATAAAATTATTATGAGGCTGAGTAATGGCTGAATGGCTAATGAACTAAATAAGTAAATACTCCTCCGGTCCTAATTATAAGACCCAATTGACTTATTTGAGGAGATTAAGGAAGCAAGTTAAGTTGGTTATTTATAATAAATAAGTGTTGTTATTCCTAAAATATCCTTGCTAATTAAGTATATTGGCTAAAACTATCATTATTAGAAGGATTATCTTGGAAAAAAATGCATAAATATAAGAGACAAAATGGATTGGGTCTTATAATTAGGACCAAATAAAAAGTCAAATTGGGTCTTATAATAAGGACCGGAGGAGTAATAATTATGCAGATACAGGGAAGCACTGAGCCACTTTGGCTAACAAAGAAAGGAAGCGGTTTAGTTGTGGCTCCAGTCGCGGCGCTGGAGGAGGCATCTTCGGAGCCAAGGCTTCAGTCCGTAAAACAAAGTCCCAGTTTAAGCTACGACGCTGGGTTGGACTGGAGTCAAGGGTTAGTTGTCCTGCCCTTGGATTGTGGGTGAGCCCAACCCCTTTCCTAAAATTTTGTCACCAAAAAAGAAAAAGGAAGCGGTTGGTGAATGGTGAAGCCAACTTCTTTGACATCGTAAACAACAAAAAGTCGCATAGTGGTTGAGAATTTTCCACTCTAAACAACGCACGCGTCTTTCCTCCCTTTTCCTTCATATTATTGCCATCGAGCCGCCCACGTTCACGCTTCTCTTTCTATTATTACTATTCGGCTTCTTTCTCCAGAAATCTCCACCTTTGAATCTCCGCCTTCTTCTCTTTCTTGGGGCCTTGGAGGAAGCTATGTGCCCTCTGAGGTTTGTCTTGGTCTTCTTTTCCGCCGTGCTAGCGGGTTATTTTGCGTGGAGGACGGTGCGTTCGTCGCCGGCGCCGAACGCTCACATCGCTTCCGATGAATCTTCTGTTGAAGAAAAAGCTCCCACGAAGAATGATTTCAATTTGAAAGAGGTGCGCTTCTTCTTTATTTTTCGATTGGTTCTTTGTTATACTTTCCTATCTTTGACGAGTGACAACAATGCCTTTTGGGTTTCAGGCGATCCAGAACGGATTCTGGGTATTCGTCGACATGGCCAGTGGGAGGTATCTCTGGAGAAATCTGAAGGCTGTCAACGGTGACACAGAGCAAAAAAGCTCTTAGAACTAGGGTCCCCATTGATCGTCTTGCCCAAATATGTACAATCTTATCTTCCTTATTTTCTCGATCTTTTTCGGACATAGATGGCTGTACTGTTCTTTATGGAAAGGGAAGAGGTGAAACTTTGGGGGATACTCATTGTAATTTTTTTCTTTTTTTGGACAAATGATTTCTCTGAAAAATGTCCATGTTAATTTTCCGAGGCCCGACGACTGATCTGCCCCAGTTTTTGTTTTTATTTTTATTTTTTTTTCAACGCCAAGAACTGCGTTATTCAATTTCCTAGAAAGATTCCTTATTTGGTATAAAAGCAGGCTGCTTCCAACAGATCCCTAATAATACATACGGAAATATACGTACAACACTTGATTAAGAAAAGAGATGAAACCATGCATGGCAGTAGAATCATGGTGTTTATATTTATAGGTCAGATTGTAGCTTCATAGACATGTAGATAAGAGTTAGCAAAGCCCCTTGGGGAAGAGGGGCATACCTTGCAAGATAGGACCCAACCCACATGGCTACCACCACCAGTGAAACTACACTACTACTGGTTTTTCCACAAACCCAACTTGCAAATGACAAGCATAATGTTAGCAATATGCCCCCCCTACCACCCAGAATCCATGCCATTACATAACCAATTTTATAGCCAGTATCCAGCTTCCTGTCGAACAATGCCATTAGACTGCTAAATGTGAGGGATAGTCGGGATCCAAATGTTTGGAACAATAGCAGGGACATGAATGCAGATCTCAGAACTTCGAAGAAGGAACCTCTCTCCTCTAATTTTTCTTCTTCATTCTCCTCTTCCTCCTCTGTTTCACTGCTGTTATAGTAGCCCTCGTTGACGTTGTAGTGCTCCCAGTATGCTTCATTACGCATTTTCTGCCTCAGTTTGGCCCACCTATACATTCTTATCCCATCCTCAAATTCAGTGCTGTAACTCCATTTTTTCCTGTAGGGCTGCTGGCCAATTTTTAGAGACCGATCATACTCATTTCTTGTTACCTCATTGGAGAGTACCTGTTTTAAGGATAAAAGTAGAAATTACATCTGGGCTTCAGAAAAGCACACATGCCAAAAGGTGAAGTCAGAGCAAGAGACAAGCCTAAATTGTTTAGGGAGTCAGGGAACTTCAAGTCCTTTCTAAAGCGGTTCCTAATTGCAGGATCTTTTCCATTCCGAGGGAAGAGTACGTTTTCAGTGGTTTCAGCTTGAATTTAACATGAGGGTGAGGGAATGATTTTGACGTAAGATGGGCTATTGCTCAGAAGTAAAGGAAACAGTCAGACGTCTGAGGGTTTGTAGAAGTCCTCTTACTGAACTAAAATTATTTTCCCTGATACATACATTTCTATATTGCGAGTAAAATGGTAAATGGGGTATTGCTCACTTCATATGCTTGACGAATGCTCTTGAACAATTCAGCAGCTTGTGAATCCTTGCTAACGTCAGGATGATACTGCAATTACAGCACAATCACAGTCAAGGAGAACTTGTTGATCATAAGTCGGAATTGAGGTCCAAATAAAAGAGACACAAGGGAAGAGGGGCAACTGATGAAACTGTCATTCCCTGAATAACACATCATTTGTATTCATTTCCCTATCCATTAAGTAGAAAACCCTTTGTAAATAATGGAAATTTTCAAGGCCGGAATTGTTAAAATATTTTAAAATATTCAGGAATTCATTATGATGAAAACATCAAAGTCCAAACTATGGAATATATAAGACTAAGGCAAACAAGCTCTGTCAAGAATTGATCAACTCTCACCCTTCTCTCCAGATCCATCAATCCTCATGTCCTATCAAACCCAAAAAATCAATCTTAAGGCATATCAATACATCATTTAAATAAATGATCAAGGAATAACTTTCTCCTTTCTTTGGTTATCATAAAGCTTCATTGAAATGAGAATTGACAGAGTCGCCTGGTGGTTCAGGGTTAGTTGTGCATGTCCTTAGCGGAAGGGTGCATGCTATAATAAAATGACGACACCCAGATCATTACAGTTTCTATATTCACACTCAACTTCCAGGCCAATCACACATTCATCCCTTAAGCATACAGCTTCGGCCCGTATCCTGGAATTCCGATTGCGTAGAATATTTCCTAGGCTAGATGCTAAATATTTGGGTCAGTTTTACTTTAAAGACAACCAATTCAGCGTTCACATAACTCTGCCGCAAGGTTCAAATATTTTCCGTTCTACTGAATGTCGATGCATCTAGACAAGCGCAACAAATGAAATTAAAAAATTTAACAAATTTTCTAGAAATGACTGTAAAGTATGACTATGAAGGTTATCTAATATTCAATAGCTCTCGGCAAAGGCCGGAAGCCATGAATTTGTTATCTCAAACTCTGAATCCAAAGTCTCTAACGTCCATACTTCCGATTGTGGCCTATCACTGACCCAATTCCCCAGATTTGAAAAAAAAAAAAATCAGAACATACTTGGAATACGAAGTGAAGGCACGTAAATCCCTAATACTTCAGTAGGAAGGAAATAGCGAACCTTGCGAGCGAGAAGGCGATAAGCCCTTTTGATATCAGCGGCGGTGGCAGTCTGATCAAGCCCCAACACGACGTAGTGGTTCTGCTCGCCGTTGATTGCGGCAGCCGAAGACGATGCTACAAAAAGTGGACTCCACCAGTGACCGTGGCGGAGTCGCCGGTGCCGACGGTTATTCCAGCTGGGTGGAGCAGCGATGAACAGATTGGAATCGATGATGGAGTTGAACCCGCCACCACAACCAGCGATAGGGATGGGTCCCACCAAAAGGTGCGCTTGCATTATCGTTCATGAATAAGAAGCCCTCCTCTTTGCTCTCAGATTTCAAACACCGACAAAATAACGCATTTTGACGGGAGCCCTCAACAGTGTATCTGACCCAGCAAGGGAATTACAGGTTCTTGGCAAAAGGATTTTGACAAGAAACAAAACTATAATTTAAAAATATTTTTATAGTATACAAAATAAATATATAAAAAAATTTAATTTGATTTACAAAAAGATATTTTTAAAAGTGATTATTGAGCAATCCAAACACTCTTTAAATTATGATTCAGGATCTGGTTTGAAAAATAATTATAACCGAGGATTGTCAAGGGAAAAAAATTCAAAATTTATGATAATCAAGAGTAAGAGATTTGTTATATATATATATATATATATATATATTTCACAGCTGATTAATAAATAAAACAGTGTTAATTAAAAAAATGGTTTATTTGTTCGTTAAAGTAGATTTTGTTTATTCAGAGTGTTCAAACCTCAAAGGAGTAAGAATGAGTCCGTTTTAGAACAACTTATAAAGCTTATAAGCTGTTTTTTAATAATAATTTATAAAATATGAGATAAATATGTGAGATAAATTTTATCTCGGCTTATATAAAATATATTTATAAGAGATTTTTTAAATCCTGTCAATCAGGTACTATGTCTTTCGAAATACACTGCTCGATACACTGCTCATCACGCAAGCCTCCCACATCACGGATTGATTCCTTATTCATTGATTCATGGAAACGCCCGGCAACCCGGGAAGGAAACCCCACAATGAATCCCCAAAATCTCATACAGTAAAGCCCAAGGCCTCGCTTCCCTTTTGTTACCTGATCTTTTTTTAATTATTTCACATTAATTAAAGAATATTGTGGTTAAAAGTTGTTGATTATCAAAATCGTAACAAATTATAATGTTTTCGTTTCATCCTTATCCATAAGAAATGCTCAGACCCCTACATTGCATGTGGACTCCAGTCATGTGAAAATGCTATGCTGAGATTGGCTTGTCTTGTCAAGCCTCTGCCTCTTATTTCAAGAAAAAGTACAGTGGCCTGTTTTTTTTTTTTTTTGGTGAAGAGTGCCTGTTTAATATCAGCAAGAAACTACCCACCTTGTTATATCTTATATTTTGTTTGTTAAAATCATTTATAGGCATGTGTTATGTAAATAGAGATAAAACTGTTTTTATATATTTATTTTGTATTTTATAAATTACGGTTAAAATAGGTCTTTAGTTTTTGTTCTTAAGGCGTGGGTTTCGAAGGAAATGTACTTGTTCTCAGAAATCTATTCCACGACCAACATTTCGTATGTTAAATTTTTAAACTTCATAAGGAAATGAGACGGGGAAAATTTGTAGGTTAATTGAAACATTTAAGAAAAGAATAACACCACAACACACACAACACGCCTTCTTCTTGTTTTGGTGGTTTTTGAGGACAGCGACGACGGCACCTCAATTATTTATTCCTTTTAAGATTATAACAACCAAAAAAATTCCCTCCCTCAATTATTTATCCCTGGTCCCTCCATGGAAGGAAGATATTTTAGACCTGATTTTTAAACTTAGATAGCGACGTCGTCTTGGGCCAGCAGATCGCTTCCTCAAATATACGTACAACCTAGCGTGAGTAGCGTCTTACATTGGCCTTCGTCCCGTAGTTTTCCTAAAAGGTCTTCGGTTCAACGAGTGAGGATAAGATAATATATCAGCTTACTCACGAATTTCAAAATGCAGCAGTATTATCCCAAGGGCTCATGGTCGTACTCTTTAACCAGAACGACCTGACTGTCTAAACCGTGTCAGGTTTTACGCCTACTGATATGATTGTAAGGGTAATTGTTGTTTAAAAGTTTTTTAAGTTGGCAGGAATTTTCAAAGGGTGTGCAGATGATGTTGGACTGGAGGATAAGTGCCGCTGCAATTTGCCTCCAGAGATTCGAGGTTCCCTATCTATCGACTCAGCGCTGATAAGACACGGCTCCAAAAGGAATATAATTGAAAGATGATGAATAATAAAGAAATTTTACACCATTTCTGTCTTCCCCTTTCAATCCTGCCAATACGCATCACACAAATCATAAAATACTAAACCAGTACAAAAGCCTCACTTCAAGGTTCTTCTCAACCTGATTTTTACTGCCACGGGCAGGCTATTTTGACCAGCTTATCCCTTACAGTACGTATTAATGAGGCGTAAATAGAAAAAACGTGAGATTCGACCCGATATTTTTGTTATAAGTAACTTTTTAATCATATTTTGAACACTATTCCAAACACGGAGGAATGACGTCAGAAAAGTTGGAGTGGCTGGGCATAATTAAAGAGTCAGATGACTGATTGCGTCCAAGCGGAAGCAGGTTAACGTGGAATCTCAAACCAAAATTCTTCAAATTAAAAAAATGACGAAGAGGAACGTGGGATTCAGAAGGATCGCGGTTTTAATGTGTTAGGCTCTGGGCAAGAGCACGCTTTGAACGGCCAGAGCACCTGTGAACGATAACCTGTTGTATGAACTTTTTCCTTCCACGCCTGGAAGATCATGTGAGAATTTGCGTAAAATTGTTGCTTTTGGCCTTGCTATCTAAGCTGCTAGAGTGAATGTTGTCCGAAGAATTGGCTGATTTTGATTTCGGAAGTACAACAGTATGCTGCTGCTGTAGTAAATAGTAATCCTCAGCCTTGGTAATTTTTTACTAGTCTATAGTTTCTCTCCTATTTAAAACTTACTACTCCCTACAATAGACCCAAAACGGACTAGGTGATGCCAAATCCTAATAATGCCATACTTCGATATAGGATTTGAAAACTGATGTGAAGAATGAACTAACTGGAAGAAATGAGAGAAGAGGGAAGCGCAGGATAATGAAGCCCCACGTGAAATAACCACCATAAGAGGCAATCAAAACATCAGGTAAAACAGGGGACGCCAGTGAGTGAGCACGCGCTCCTGATTCCTCTCTAACACTTCAACAAGTCATTGAATAGCTAATTTTTCTTCATTCATGAAATCTTGCACTTTTACAAAATCATCAAAAACATTTGATCATAATCCAACGCAATTCATTCAATACTGCTACCGCGCTACGCGTCATTCAGAATCGCTTTCCATGCTACCCAGCCTTCAATCCTCTCGGTCTCTGCATCATGTGTATCAAACAACCCATTAGTATTCGCACTTCTGAAAAGGTAAAATTTGAAAGACACATACACATGTGTAGGACAAGAATCGCCTACCTTCTTGCTGCTTTTCTTCTCCCTCACTTCATATCTCTCCTGGCACATATCACTCAACCACGCACCAGGGCTCACCAGCTGCATCCACCAATCCCATCAAACTCAATTCACCAAAACCAGTCCATAAAATTCAAAATTCAAATAATACTTAACATTAGATATACAAAGTTATAAATCGATTGCCTGTCTTTCCAATTAAGCAAAATTTCCCTCCATTCATAGAAGAGATTGCAGGCTTATTATTGGAGGGGATCTTTGAAAATTAACAGCACGGGTGGGGAAACAAAGATAATACTTACAAGCAAGCTCCTTTGAATCATCTTTGCCCTCTTTTTAGGTCTCTGGGGTGGTTTACAGCCTTTCATGGCCAGAAAGTCCTCTTCTTTCTCTTTGCTGGATAGCGCGATGAAAAGTTTTGGCCACACTAACGCTCTCTCCTCCCCGTTATTCCCATCCCCTGACACCTTACCGGTGTCCTCGCCACCCACCGACCCTCTCGTCGTATAGTACCGGTCCTCCTTCTCCGGCGACGCAGATTTCCTAATCTCTCCCGCGCCGGACCGAAGCGTTCCCCCCTCAGAATTCCTGCACAGGACGGAGGTTTATCTGCCTTTGTTATTTTATTATCTCTCCAAACGTTTCCCAACGACCACAGTCAGAGAATCAAAGGAGAAGAAGAAGAAAATAGAAGATCCTTTCGCTATTCTCACCTAGTTAAGCGATTAGGTTGGAAATGAGTGTTTTCTTTGTCGGAACTAGTGATCCCTGAACGATCTACTGTCGGCGTAATCTTCCTTCGGATTCCACCGGTTAGTCGCGACGATACCCGAGGGTCTTTCCCCCTCACGCATCGGAGCCGCTTTCTGTTACCCCAGCGCAAGACGAATTCTGACTCCGAACCTTTATAACCTCTCTGATTCCTCTCTTCTGTCTCCATATCTGCGATGAATAAAGCACAAAAAACAACCAAGCAAAGATGTTTCAATCTTCAAGGAGGCTTATGTTTCATAAGGAACTAAGGACCTCACAAAATTTTCTGAAGTTAATTGAAGCCCTTAAGAAACCAACATAAACCAAAATCAGAGAGATTTCCAACACACCTCTCCTCACAATCGGATTCCCCTGAGGCGAGATGCCCAATGGAGAACTGTCAGATACCGCAACCAAATAATGATTTGGGTTTTGCACAAAACTCAGCAGAACAGTGGAAAAAATGGCAAATTACGGGAAGATTTCTGATTTACTCCCAACTACAAGATCTCCGCGGGTAGCATATAGGGACTAATATCCTCGCTAAGCGAGCCTGCAAAACGAGAAGCACCCAGGTTAGAAGGATGATTAGAAATAGGAAATCCATCTGCGAGAGAATCGCAAATGAGAACAAGAAGAAGAGACCTTACAATGATATATCTTCACGTCGGGAGAAATGGAAGAAACCGATTTCCCTCAGCAAAAGAACGAATTTTCCTCCGAGATAAACAAATTATAGATCTTTCCTGTTGTCAGATTTCCAGCTTGTGATAAACCATGCTTCGGGCCTCGCAGTGGTGCAGCCAGCGTTTTCTATCTATTTCTCTGTTTGCTTTCACCGCGCCTTCCCTCCTCTGTTCTTCTTCCCTTCCACCTCTTTCCGTCTACTTATCCTTGTTTCTCAAGTGATGATAATAACTATAGACAGTTAGAACCGTTGGATTGGAAATGAACGGTTAGATTCAACCCCCTCGTGGCTTTCGACTTCCGGATCCCTCGCACGCTCGCACGTATCTTCAAAAAGAAAAAAAAACAGCATTTTGAATTTGTTTTTGTTTCGACGCTGATTATGTTCGGGTTGCAAATTATCCGTCCTGTATTTTT